GCCTTATGGCAATTCAAATTAATAGAAATAATAGGCTGTGAATCTGTGAAGTCACAGTGGGCAAACTAGACCATCTCCCACCCACCACCACAGGCCGGCTCAACGCTTGGCAGACCCCTTCCTACCCGAACTTTGTTCGGGTAGCACGACTCCCCAACCCCAATCGGGAAGATAGAAGTTTCGGATAACTAAAGTTCGGAAACCAAGTGGTGCTCTGTACCGCCGCTGAGACGAAGCACGCAGGTGGGACACATTCAAGAAGACACCTGATCACCAAACAGATTCAAGTCAAAACGACCGGACTAGAAGACTCGAGAAGACCGAACCAGCCCGGTCACGGAGCAGACCGACCATGCAAGAGAGGTGGAGCCATGGGAAAAACCCCGGGCGCGAACACCGAGTAAGCCGCGCCGGAACCAAGGCTGGCAAAGAATCAAAAGGAACGTCTGCCGGGGAACTAGGAACCCCGACCAAACCCTGCAAGCCGGGAAAGAACCAACCCGACCAAGCAGACACGCCCCGTCCAGGTGTCCCCCCTGGCGCGAGGTGGCACCCCCCTGGCACCTCCCTGGCGCGAGAGGCGCGAGGCTCCTCGCGCCTCTCTGACAGGAGGCCAGGTTAGAAACCCCAATGTGGTTGGGAGCATTCTATATCTGCCATCGACCAGGTCTGACACCCAGAAAGATAGGCATCCCAAAACCAACCCCTATTCTGGTGAAACTATTACTACCGAAAGCCGAACGAGTGGATAGAGCTCCCCCCAAACGAAAATTAGCATACAAGCATGACGTCATCATGTTGCTGCACCGCTGTCTGCAAAAACCCTCCCTACCCGGGAGGGGGAAGGGGTAGCCCCAGACCCCCGCGCCGGATGTCAAAATACTGTATGCGATAAACACCGCCGACCGGAGGAAGGGAGGGATGCCAGGGAGCCTCCAGGACTCGCCCAGAAAATGGTGTGTGATTACATTTAACGCTAATTTTGTGGGGGGGAGGGAGGAAGCCCCCGTCAACTTCCCGGAGCTAACTACCCAAAGACAAGGAAAAACAGGTACTTACCCAGGTCGCAGTCAGTCCTCACTCCTTAACACGAAGTCGAGACAACTAGCTGCAACGTTGACTCAATGCAACTCGGGCCCGACTACTTCCAGGAACATTCACGAGGCAGCGTGCAGCCAGAACCCTTTTCGACCACCATAAACCCCGTGCCTGAATGTCAACCCAAGATATGTTGCCAAAGATGGCAACCAAGGCAGCAAACTTACAAACGTTACGGGCACGGGAATAGACCGCAGGCTGGCTTAACTTAATAACCCTGCAGACGACCTGAGAGACCCGAGCCCGGGAAGGGAAGGAGGGAAACCAGGTAAACCCAAAGCGCATCCCCAGCCACCGAAGCTGTGGCGCACAAATAACAGTGGAGTGCCGCAACCGGACAACACACGATGCACCCCTGGCCTGACGAACCAAGCAACAACTCAATGACCCCTCCGGATAGCAGTCGTCTCATTCTTCGCCAGAAACGAAGGAGATGGCTGTAACTGAACAAACTTACCACCAGAACCGAAGGAACAGAAACCTCTTCGTCGAAGGAGAGCATGAAGCTCCCAAACCCGACCCCCAGAGGCCAATGCCAACAGGAAAAGAGCCTTAAAAAAACAATCCTGAACCGAAGGGGCCAGCACAAACCGAGGAGAAGAGAGTAGCCGGTCCAATGACCAGGATGGCTCAGGTAAGGCATGAGCAGGCCAGAGGTGAAACAACGCCCGAGACAGCTTGCGAAACAGCGCAGCAGTAACATCAATGCCGAAAGCAAGCTGCAGCGGCTCCGCCAGCGCCGCACGATACGAGGCAACAGTATTGGGCATAAGATGATGGTAGTGAAACGGCCACAAGAGAAAGGACGTGGCCACCTTAACAGAAAGCAAAGTACACCTACGAAGAGACAAAAGGAAATGGAAGGACCACCAGGAAACTTCACACTGCCGCCAAGATGAAGCACACAGGTGGGACACCATTAAAGAAGTCACCTGATCACCATACAGATGGTGATAGACTCGAGTCAAAAATACCAGATGCAAAGACTTGAGAAGATCAAACCAGCCCCGTAACGGACCGGACTTATCAGCTGAAAGAGGCAGAACCGCAGAAAAACCCCTGGGTTCGGACACCGAACAAGCAGCGCCTGAAATCAAGGCTGGGCTGGCTACCAAGGAGCCAAGAGGACTACTCTTCCCTGGTAAGTTTCCAAGCAAGCTAGGACCTGGAGCAACAGCAAAACTGGGGGCAAAAGGTACAGGGAACCCCACCTCGACCAGTCCTGCCGAAAAGCATTGACCCCGACGGCCTCGCAGTCAGGGAAGGACGCCACATATACCGGGAGATGCCTCAACCCAATCCCAGGAACCTCCACACCAGGACCTGGGGCCAAGTCATCCTCCAAAGCCTCGGTCTCAAAAGAAAAAAACTGGGGCAGCCGAAAAGGCAGGAACGAAGGGAGCCCACTGTTAAGACCACGGCTGGAGGAACCGACTCAACTGCCTCTGTCGCCATCTTTAAAGGGGCATCCCCAAGACTGCCCAAGTCTCAAATCCAGCTAAACCCTTCCCCGACCCCTAAGCCTTCAGATGCTTCCAAGCCGGAAGCAGAAGGGGGGAGAGAGGGAAGGACCAGAATGTACTACAGCAGGCGAAGAACGAGAGGGTGCGGACTGAACCAAGGCCAAAGCGACCAACACCCCAATGTCCAGGTCCCTATAAGCAAAACAGGGCAGCCTCGGGGCATCCGAGTGAGCAACCAACCTAGCACGCTGCAGCAACCTATACCTAGTATGCAACGACTGAGCTGCCTGCACCCAGATAGTCACCAGTAGACTGGGTGAACCGAGTCACTAACAAGCAACAGGACTCTGGGTCAAAGGTGTCACCGACCCAACAGGCAGCATGATGGAGGCAAAAACAGTGAGTCACCCTGAGACAAGGGGACAGAGCAACTCCTCACACTTGCACAAGGCAAGAGGGGGACTCAGCGGTCGCATCCATCGGACCCCTTGTGCCCCTGCGGGGTTTCCCAGGGCCCTTAGACTGGTATCGCTAAGGGAAGCCCAGGCAGGGTAGTGCTAACCGGCGCCCAAGGCTACCAAACTTCTAATAGCTGAACCCCAAGGACGTGTCCACTCACGGGCGAATAGCTGGAGACACCACCAAAACCCCAGACAGACAGAAACGGGGGGAGTTGGAAGGAGGGAGGGGGAGTTGGAGGGAGGGAGGGGGAGTTGGAAGGAGGGAGGGGGAGTTGGAAGGAGGGAGGGGGAGTTGGAAGGAGGGAGGGAGGGAGGGGGAGTTGGAAGGAGGGAGGGAGGGAGGGGGAGTTGGAAGGAGGGAGGGAGGGAGGGGGAGTTGGAAGGAGGGAGGGAGGGAGGGGGAGTTGGAAGGAGGGAGGGAGGGAGGGGGAGTTGGAAGGAGGGAGGGAGGGAGGGGGAGTTGGAAGGAGGGAGGGAGGGAGGGGGAGTTGGAAGGAGGGAGGGAGGGAGGGGGAGTTGGAAGGAGGGAGGGAGGGAGGGGGAGTTGGAAGGAGGGAGGGAGGGAGGGGGAGTTGGAAGGAGGGAGGGAGGGAGGGGGAGTTGGAAGGAGGGAGGGAGGGAGGGGGAGTTGGAAGGAGGGAGGGAGGGAGGGGGAGTTGGAAGGAGGGAGGGAGGGAGGGGGAGTTGGAAGGAGGGAGGGAGGGAGGGGGAGTTGGAAGGAGGGAGGGAGGGAGGGGGAGTTGGAAGGAGGGAGGGAGGGAGGGGGAGTTGGAAGGAGGGAGGGAGGGAGGGGGAGTTGGAAGGAGGGAGGGAGGGAGGGGGAGTTGGAAGGAGGGAGGGAGGGAGGGGGAGTTGGAAGGAGGGAGGGAGGGAGGGGGAGTTGGAAGGAGGGAGGGAGGGAGGGGGAGTTGGAAGGAGGGAGGGAGGGAGGGGGAGTTGGAAGGAGGGAGGGAGGGAGGGGGAGTTGGAAGGAGGGAGGGAGGGAGGGGGAGTTGGAAGGAGGGAGGGAGGGGGGGGAGTTGGAAGGAGGGAGGGAGGGGGGGGAGTTGGAAGGAGGGAGGGGGGGGAGTTGGAAGGAGGGAGGGGGGGGAGTTGGAAGGAGGGAGGGGGGGGAGTTGGAAGGAGGGAGGGGGGGAGTTGGAAGGAGGGAGGGGGGGGAGTTGGAAGGAGGGAGGGGGGGGAGTTGGAAGGAGGGAGGGGGGGGAGTTGGAAGGAGGGAGGGGGGGGAGTTGGAAGGAGGGAGGGGGGGGAGTTGGAAGGAGGGAGGGGGGGGAGTTGGAAGGAGGGAGGGGGGGGAGTTGGAAGGAGGGAGGGGGGGGGAGTTGGAAGGAGGGGGGGGGGGGAGTTGGAAGGAGGGAGGGGGGGGGGAGTTGGAAGGAGGGAGGGGGGGGAGTTGGAAGGAGGGAGGGGGGGAGTTGGGGAGGGAGGGGGGGGGGAGTTGGAGGGAGGGGGGGGGGAGTTGGAAGGAGGGGGGGGGAGTTGGAAGGAGGGGGGGAGTTGGAAGGAGGGGGGGAGTTGGAAGGAGGGGGGGGGGAGTTGGAAGGAGGGGGGGGGGGAGTTGGAAGGAGGGAGGGGGGGGAGTTGGAAGGAGGGGGGGGAGTTGGAAGGAGGGGGGGGAGTTGGAAGGAGGGGGGGGAGTTGGAAGGAGGGGGGGGGGGAGTTGGAAGGAGGGGGGGGGAGTTGGAGGGGGGGGGGGGGAGTTGGAGGGGGGGGGAAGTTGGAGAGGGGGGGGGGGGTCAATCAACCAAAGGCAGACCCCCACCAGGTGGGAAAAAAAAACAAAAAAAAAACTGAAAGAGGACAACATACCCAGGAGGAACAGAGTCTGCCGCTATACATAATAGGTGGTAACTAGTTGTACAGTACCCCGCGCCCCTACCAGTGCAGAATACCCCTCACCCCAAGGTAAACAAGGGAGGCATTCCTAAGAGAGGGATGAGGAACAATGACGATAAAAAGACATAAAAGACCTACCAACCTCTAGACTGAAGCCTCTCTTTCAGTTGCCGTAGCAGCTGCAATGCACTTTCTCCAAAGGGTGAAGCATTTACATCATCAGACAGCAGTCGATTATTTTCATCAATTGTCTGAAAATCAAATTTGCAGTAATTATGAAGAATACAAGATAATTTAATTGCTAACTATAATTTTATCTACAGGACTGCCATACTTGTCAGGGCCCACATTACACATACACACTGGGTAAAACATTTTAATGAATAATATCATCTACAGAAAGTAGATGATAGTAGCTCCCCGGAGCTACTTCACCAAAGACTACAAAAGAAAAGGGGACTTACCCGGGAGGTGGTCGGTGCTCCACTCCTCAACACGAAGTAGAGACAACGGGCTGCAACCGCCGACCCAAAGCAACACAGGCCCGACTGGGCCCAGGAATGTTCACAAGGTAGCGTGCAGCCAGGACCCTGTTCAACCGCCAAAAACCCTGCACCCGAAAGTCAGCCCAAGACATATTGCCAAAGACGGCAGCAAGAGCAGCAAACTTACGAATGTCATGGGCTTGCTGGATTTAATAACCCTGCGGACGACCTGAGAGACCCAAACCCACAAAACAGGGAAGAAGGGAAACCGGATCAACCCAAAGCGCGTCCCCTGACACAGAAGCCGTGGCTCACAGATAACGGAGGAGGGCCGCAACCGGACACAATACATGGTGAAACCCAGGCCTGACAAACCAAGCATCAACAACCCAAGGACTCCTCCAGAGAGCAGCAATCTCATTTTTCGCCAGAACAGGGGGAGACAGCTGCATACGAACATACCTATGACCACGAACAAAGGAACAAAAACTTCTGTGCCTCAAAAGAAAATGAAGCTCCACTACACGACCCCCAGAGGCCAATGCAAACAGAAAAAGAGCCTTAGCAAAGCAATCCTGAACCGAAGGAGAAACAACAAACAGAGGAGAAGAAAGATAGGAGAGCACACTGTCCAAAGACCAGGACGGCTCAGGCAGTGCATGAGCAGGCCGGAGGTGAAACAACACACGAGACAGCTAGTGAAACGGTGCAGAAGTAACACCGATACCGAAAGCAAGCTGCAGCGGTTCCGCCAATGCCACACAATACTGTAACCACACAATTATCCGGGATTCAAACATCCGGAAAATGCCCTTATAGGGCCAAAATCACGACCGGATAAAGTTCTCAATATCCCGCCAAAATGGCCATGGGAGCCGAATAAAAGCTGATTTAGCCGGATAAAAAAATTGACCTGGTTAACTTGCTGCCGATGTTACACTATCCGGACAGTCAGCCGGATAATCATTGAAACCGTATTAATCCCGTCTGCCTGTGGCTCGAGACGCATAGTGGAGGAGGGGGTCAGGTGGGTGGTAGTGGGAGGGGAGCGTCGGGAGGGACCATCTGGGTACAGAAATTACCATTAATTTTAGAACAATTCATCATAGGCAAAAACAAATAAAATAAGTACTAGTAATTATGTAATAACAAATATATAAGTTTCCTAAAAATAATGTGCACAGGCTGAAGTTTCCTTCAAAAATATTGAGTTTTTTTCCTCCTGGCGGCCTATGTAACGTGCTATAGCTGCCTCAAGTGGACCCGTCCAACACTGCTCAACCCATGTGCTCCCGTCCCTCGTGCTATACTACAGTGCTGTGCCATTAGCGAAATATTTTTTAAATAACTTTTATTTTCATAGTAACTTTGAACATTTTTGGCCAAGACAATGTCTGGTAGGAACATCAGTCATTCTGGAGTTAAGAGGAAGAAGGTTGTCCTAACAATTAAAGATAAGTTACTGTTATACACCTCAACCAGTAAGGCATCACAGGCAAGCCAAATGCCTCCAACAAGTGAGGCGCAAGCAAGCGCCTCCGGCAAGTGAGGCGCAAGCAAGCGCCTCCGGCAAGTGAGGCGCAAGCAAGCGCCTCCGGCAAGTGAGGCGCAAGCAAGCGCCTCCGGCAAGTGAGGCGCAAGCAAGCGCCTCCGGCAAGTGAGGCGCAAGCAAGCGCCTCCGGCAAGTGAGGCACAAGCAAGCGCCTCCGGCAAGTGAGGCGCAAGCAAGCGCCTCCGGCAAGTGAGGCGCAAGCAAGCGCCCCCGGCAAGTGAGGCGCAAGCAAGCGCCCCCGGCAAGTGAGGCGCAAGCGCCCCCGGCAAGTGAGGCGCAAGCAAGCGCCTCCGGCAAGTGAGGCGCAAGCGCCCCCGGCAAGTGAGGCGCAAGCAAGCGCCTCCGACAAGTGAGGCGCAAGCAAGCGCCTCCAACAAGTGAGGCATCACAGGCAAGCCAAGCGCCTTCAACAAGTGAGGCTTCACAGGCAAGCCAAGCGCCTTCAACAAGTGAGGCATCACAGGCAAGCCAAGCGCCTCCGACAAGTGAGGCGCAAGCAAGCGCCTCCAACAAGTGAGGCATCACAGGCAAGCCAAGCGCCTTCAACAAGTGAGGCTTCACAGGCAAGCCAAGCGCCTTCAACAAGTGTCTTTAGTCTCCGTGGTAAGACACTTGCCTGGCGTTCCGCGAGCGCTATGTCATGGGTTTGTATCCTGGCCGGGGAGGATTTACTGGGCCCAATTCCTTAACTGCAGCCTGTTTAACTCAACAGTAAAATGTGTACTTGGATGAAAAAACGATTCTTCGCGGCAGGGGATCGTATTCCAGGGACCTGCCCGAAACGCTACGCGTACTAGTGGCTGTACAAGAATGTAACAACTCTTGTATATATCTCAAAAAAAAAAAAAAGTGAGGCGCAAGCAAGCACCCTTAACAAGTGAGGCATCACAGGCAACCCAAATGCCTTCAACCAGTGAGGCTTCAGCAGCCGGCAGTCAAAACTAACTTTGCTTAATGAACAGTACAGTAATTTTAAGTGTTAATATTTGTGGTGTGTTAGTATAGGTTACGTAAATTGTTAAGAATTCTTAACTTCAAGATGTGTGGCATCAATCAAGAAGACGAACACCAACAAGCTAAGTTGAGGTTTCTAGTTGAATATTTAATAATTATATGTGGCAAGGCAATTTAAATTATGTTGTTTGTAGTAAAAAAAAATAGTTGGAAATGGTCACTTTTGGAGTCGTGGGTGAAAAAGCACCATTATCCGGAACACATGATAATCCGGCTGGGGGTCCTTCCCATATAGTCCGGATGATCGAGTGGAGACAGTACGAGGAGACAGTATTAGGCATAAGATGAGGGTCCTGGAACAACCGAGAGAGAAAGGACAAAACCACCCGAACCAAAAGCGAGGAGCAACGACGAAGGAACAAAAAGCATCGGAAGGACTGCCAGGAAACTTCATACTGCCGCCGAGAGGAAGCCCTTAGGTTGGAACCAACAAAGAAGCCACCCAATCACCATAGAGATGGTAATAAACACGAGTCAAAAACACCAAACGCCAAGATTCGCGGAGAAGAGCGAACCAGTCTCGTACCGGACCGGGCCGATCTCCTGAAATAGCCGGAGCAGTGGAAAAACCTCCGGGTTCAGACCCCAGGCAAGCAGCACTACTCGCCCTTGGTAAGTCTCCAGGACCTGGAGCAACAGCTGAACCGGGGGAAAGAGGTACAGGAACCCCCACCTCGCCCATTCCTGCCGAAAAGCGTCGATCCCGACAGCCTCGCAGTCCTGGAAGGGCGCCACATAAACCGGAAGATGCCTCGACTACGTCGACACAAAGAGGTCCACCTCCGGGCACCCGAATGTCCGGCAGAGCCAACTGAAGGAGTCAGCATCTACCGTCCATTCCATGGACAGGGGAACGAACCTGGACAGGCCGTCTGCCAGGACGCTGGACACCTCCCGAACATGAACCGCCAGGAGAGCCAAACCCCAAGAACTTGTAGCGAGTAGATTATCCCAATAATATACTCGCTCCAAACGCATTAGCCTAATGAGAGAAGCAAAGCTCTTCTTGGTACTAATTATGGAATTCAAACCTTTCCCTACTTCCAGTTAATATTCCTGCCAATCTTTGGAGAACGGGGAGGTGTTGCCCGAGCATATAAGTAACAGAGTAGCGAATAATAACTAGTCCACTTTCAAGTGTGGTCAAGAACACACACTCGCCAAGGTATCACCTGCATACTTCTGTATACTCGACCAAATATATATATTCTCTTAGTGTCTGTGTTTATTGTCACCATACTTTACGTAACAATAGAACCGTTACAAACTCAGCAGATAAGTCACCAGAAGCGACCAACCCCAAAGAGCCAATGCCCGCATCGAACCCCCCTCGGTTCAAGCAATGAACCACCGGGGAGTAGTCCGAATGGAGCCGGATCATCGATCCGCGGGCGACCCAAAACCCCCCGAAGCGCAAACCACACCGCTGCGAACTCTCGCACCGTGCTGTGGACCCGACAGAAGGACGGACCCCACCTCCCCTGGCCGGCCTGGTGAGCACTGGTCACAAAGCCCCAGCCAAGAGACGACGTGTCTGAACACATTGAGCAAGGGCTCGGGAAGGCACCAAGGCACCGAACCCCAAAAACCCAAAGAGGAAGCCGTCGACGCAGCAGCCGACACAAAGCCCCTTGGGGGCAAACCCAGCGATTGTGAGAGAGGCAGAAGGGACGTCCATGAAGGAACCAGAACAGCCGACAAAGCCAAACCCGATCCGACGGGTAGACCAACATCGCAAAGTTCAGGCTCCCGCACAAACCCTCGAGCAACCGCCGGGTGACCCAGGAGCCTCCCAGAAACAGGCACAGGTGAGACCGCAGCCGAAGAAGAAATGCCGGAGGAAGAGACAAGGAAGTAGTCCAAGAGTCCCACACAAGACCCAGTCGGGTTCGAAGTCCAGCCTGAAGTCCCGTCTGGTTCCCTGGGAGGGAACCAGACGGGACTTCCGCCAGTTCACCAGGAACCTGAACCCGGCGAGCTGGGAAAGCACCAAATCCCTGGCGGGTTACGAACTTTGCCTCGGGTAATGTAGTTTGTTGATATGCATATGGCCGACCTAGCGCATTGTAGCACGGCGACTGCGCCTTAGTTTACCAGTGCCTTCTGCCTAGTGACAACCGCGCTTGAATTCTTTGTAAAGAATTTCAGTGTTTTTCGGATTTTTGGGTATTTGAACATAAAAGTTACGATTATATATCTCACCATGGGTCCCAAGAAAGTTAGTGGTAAGGTTCAGTCCTTAAATTGTAGCCTGAATGTGTTTCAGAACTAGACTTTGAGGGGGGGGTTTGAACCTAAGCCTGACATGCTTATTGTTGAGGAAATTGTTACTCTGGGCCAGAAATTGGGCTTGGAGTTGGATGGTGTTCATGTGGAGGAGTTGGTGAAGGAACACAGTGAAGAACTGACCACCGAAGAACTCCAAGCCGTTCACAAGCAGCAGCAACAAGTGGCAGCCGAGGAAATGTCTTCAGGGGAGGAGGCGGTACAGAATGTCCCTACCTCAACAATTAGGAAGTGGTGTAGACTATGGGAAGAATTGCTAACTTTTGTTAAAACGACTCACCCAGAGCAAGCTGTAGTAGGCTGTGTCATTAATCTTTTTAACGACACTGATGCCTCACTACAGACAAGTGTTACAACATAGGGAAAAACAAGCCTCTATGAATAGATTTTCAGTGAGAAAAACAAAAGCCACAAGCAGGTCCTAGTGGTACTCCTGCAAAACATACCAGAGAGAGTACCCCAGAGAAGTCATCACTGCCTGATGTTATAACAGAAGGAGGACTCTCCTTCCAAACACTAACACCTCTCCTCCTCCCATCCTCCTCACCGTCTTCCATACACCAACAAGTCATCAATAAAGGTAAGCAATAACTTGTACATACTTTAGAACTAAGATTTGGGTGAATTAGGTATAAAATTTACTTTGAAGTTAATATTTTTGCAAGTGTGGAACAGATTAATTCAATTTACATTATTTATGGGAAAATTCACTTCAGCTTACGATTTTGTGTGTTACGAACTGTCTCTGGGAGCGGATTAAATTTGTAACCTGAGGTACCACTGTTCCTGTTACACTAATTTTCAACTTCTTTCAGGTTTGTCTGGCATAAGCTTAGCCGTATTATGTTTTCTTTCTTTAAAAACTTTCACCACTACCAGCTTTTATTGCTCATTATTTCCTCTACATCCCACACAATCACACAAGCCTGCCTATCACTCATGAAAAATAATCAACCTTAGGAAGGATTTTTCTTTATACACACAGTAAATACAGTGCTATATGTAGGACTTACCCTGACTTGTTCAGACTGTGCCATAAAGTTCTGGTGCTGGGATTGACTGCCTTCATTCCTGGAATTATTATCAATTGGTACTTCGTCCACTGTATTAATTTTTTGAAATGAAGAATTCTTTGTTTCTGCCCTTTTAGAGATACTAGTACTTTCAATTTTCTTGATATCATCAGTGCTACGTAATAAATTAACATGTGAGAAACATTGGTCAGGTTTAAGTACAGATGTCTGGGCAGAGCGAATGTGCCGATGGGAACTTCTGGCTCGCTTGAATTGCTTTCTTTTGGAATCCGAGGATAAGCTCTCAGACTGTGCAGCCAAGGTTCTTTCTTTCAGTATTTCATTAACAGGTTGAGAATGTTCCTCTGTGGTAGAGTGCAGTGTCCCGTCAGGGTCGCTAACACTAGAAACTGTACTACAATTTTTCAGCACATTTCCCCAGGTTTGATCAGGAGCAACAAATTTATGATGCTTTTTATTGGATTTTGTTCTCAAGATTTCAACCGAGACTTTACCACCAGATGCTTTGCCATTCTTATTACTGACAGGCGACTTTCCAACATTTTTAGCTCCAACACTCTTCATAATATTGTTGTTATTATTTTCTCTTGCTACATTTTGCATTTCCTTTCTCAGAGCACAGTCTCGTTTAAAGGCCGAAGGCCCAGCAGTTGGCACATTGCTCTGTAATGCCAACTTTGGAATAGTCCGAAGCGTCAATTCTACCACTTGTGTACTGTTTTGGAAGGTCTGCCGATGAACAATTTTGGACCTTGAATTGGCTTTACTGGCCATGAAGACAGGTCTGAAAAATATAATTTATAAGTTAAAAATCCTTAAATGTTATCCTAACTAACAGATAGGCTAAAATTCACTTCTCTAATACGTACTACAATGTAGTATTTATAAAGATGATAATTTAGTTGATAAAAACAAAAGGGTATTTACAAAAATTAATCATAATTTCATAGACATTCATAGTTTAATTTTAGAGTGCAGAGTAAGAATAAACCAGTGTTGAATGTAATGAAACCAGTTTCTGGGTGAGCCCCGGAGGCTCCCTGAAGCTATCACACTGATTAATTTCCATACTATTAGGCATCATCAGTCACGGAGTTCTATTTTTGCCACCATCTAACTTTGCCACCATCCAAGAGAAGGCACCCAGAAAGATTGGCAAATCAAAACAGACTACTGCTTGGTTAAAACAAAACCACAGCCTCAAAATTGTCAAAAGAACTCCCCCACAATGAAAACAAAATTTCAAGAAACTAGCCCATCACTACAGTAGTTTTCACCCCCCCCCCCCTCAAAGCCTAGGAGGTGGAGGGAGCTGGCCTGGGTCATCTGCGCTGCTCAGTCCAGTTCTATAATGATAAAACCTGCCGACAACCTGGGAGAGGAAGGGTGCCAGGGAGCCTCCAAAGCTCACCACAAACTGGCATTTTATTGCATTCAATAAAGCTTTGCCAAATCATAAACATATATGTGCCATTGTGAAGTGTGAGAAACTCCCTTGGAACAGTGATGAGGGTTCAAACCTACGACCCGGGTGTCCCCACACACACACCTCTAGCCCCTAGACCACAACATAGTAATAAAGATGACAACCTGCACTTCTACTTTAGAACCTGAGGCTTCTTTAGTAGAAGCCTCAGGAAGTCCTTGCTGCAGCCATGTTAGTATGATTACTGTCTGTGTTGTGAAGTGTTTCCCACCACCACCACCGCCACCACTCACACAGTCCTGGCGAGGAGAAAACCTTCACACAAGACCACACACACGACGACTGGAGTATCGTGGCCTAGCCTCACCATACTGGTGTTCCCTGTAACATGACCAACCTAAAAGTTAACAACCAGGTGCCCAGTTTGTGCTGCATGAACCCAGGTGGACACTGAGGTGGACACTACAGTATATCTGCTCCACACACCAGCAGCGTCTTCTAAAGATAATCATTGAAAGATTATCAGTTAAAAAATCAGCATGTGACCTGTAGAGGCTCAAGGAAGTAATAGAGCAACAAATGGAAACTATCTCTAGACCGACACCGACTCACATCTTCACAGACGGATCAGTTGATCAAGAAAAAGGTTCTGCTGGGGCAGCAGTTTACACTACCAACCATGAAGCTTACTGGAGCATGAATAGTGGGTGCTCAACATTGCAAACAGAACTATATGCCCTGAAGGAGGCAATAAACTATACAATTGAGAATAATTTACATGATGTCATCATTCATACAGACTCTAAATCTTCGCTCCAGGCATTGTTATCCAGTCAACACAGAGATAATATACAACTCCTCACAGAAATTCAACATATAGGAAAAGATGCCCATAATCGAGGGCTGTCAATCACCCTAAATTGGATACCAAGTCACATTGGCATAAAGGGTAATGAAAAGGCACTCACTAGCAAAAACTGCCACTGCTCTACCTGTTGTACAGGTTCAAATACCTCCAAGTTCCTCACAGATAAAGGAGCAAATCAAGAAGAAAATATTCTCAACTATCAAAAGTCGCCACAGAGCCAAAGTAGCGGAAGGAAGATCCACTGCGATATGGTATGAACAAGCCACTGGTTACTCCTCTTTCAAGCCTGGCAAAAAGATATCCAGAGACATTGCAGTAGCCATACACAGACTCAGACTTGGGTACAAGTGCTGCTGGGAGGTAATGAACCCAATAGTTAAAGAGTGTCACATCTGTGAAACTGAGGCAGAGGCGCCACTATTGCACTACTTACTGGAATGTGAAGCTACTGAAGCCCTGACCATCAAACTCAACATTAATCCAACGACAGCAGCTGCATTACATGCACATTCCACCGCGACTACAATGATTAGAAAAGCTGTTGAGGAATGGGACTCATTAGTGAGCATTCTGCATCTACATCCGCCACCAAGATAATGTTAATAAAAAATGATTAAAACCAGTGCAATAAAACAGGAGCGACAAAATAAGCAGGGAAAAAGGAGAAGTCCTCTCCTCCATTTTAAACTTAGACCTAAATATCACAGGAAAAAGGTTATCATGTATATCACCAAACTCAATTACGGGCTCACCATAGCCCGTGCTACATGGACACTCCGTCCTGAATAGCTAAATCTTTAACAACAACAACACCAGCAGCGTCTCCCCGCCACCCACCGTATATAGTGTGTCACTACCTCTTGATCACGGAGCGGCACGACTGGCTGCTGATCACGGCGCGTCAACACTACCTGTTGATCTGACTGCCTGTTCACACTGGCTTCAATCGCCTACACTCAGACAAATAATAACAAGCTATGATATATATAATAGTATTTATTTTGTATGCATAATAATGATATACATTTACAATACAATTCTAAAAGTATATTTGTTTTGATTGCATATCAAATTTAAAATATAACATACTCTTTTATAATTGCAATTTCCCCCCCAAAAAATATATATAGATATATTTCACTATTATGTAATAGGTATTTAAAGTCAACTTTACGCGGGTTTTCTTTTTTTTTTAGCCTGGATGACGCATCACGACGCGGGAAATTTAAATTTACCAGACTTTATCCTAGGGTCACCAGCCCTATTTATTTTATTTTATTTATTTATATATACCAGAAGGTACATTGGGTTAATGAGAGTACGTTAGTGAGAGAGTAAAGCTGGGAACATTAGTGAAATACCATCTATGGTATACAGGAGGGGCCGGGCCGTTCATGCCCTTGTACCACCCTTAGCACTGCTATTCAACAAATAATAATAATAATAATAATAATAATAATAATAATAATAATAATAATAATAATAATAATAATAATAATAATAATTTATTTAGGAACAGTACATACATAGTTGCAGAGTTACAGTACAAACATTCTGTTAGATTTAAAAATAGAGGTAGTAAATCAAACGTTTATTTAGGTAAGGTACATACATACAAGAGATTTTACAAAGAGTGATGGATTTATAGATAGGGCTAGTACATACAATGCCTAAAGCCACTATTACGAGGCTTAGAGTTTTGGAGAGGAAGAGGTTAGCTAATGAATTTATATCCTGAGTATTATTGAATTCAGATTCCCGGTTAATATTGTGAAGTGCATCTGTAAGGTTGCCTAAAGCTGATTCACTGTGTAACCTGAATGTAAGTTTCTTGTTTTCTGGTGGTGTTAAGTCCATGTTCGCTATGAGAAAGGTAGGATAGTGGTCAGTTGTTCTGTCATAGATTATACCTGGTCATAGAGTATAACTGGTCAATGACTGACCCTCAGGATGCAACCCACATCAGACTTCATGAGGCCTCACAGCTGAGCGGACAGTGGTCGGAGGTCTGCGTCTTAAGGGCCCGAGTTCGATTCCCGTCCGAGGCAAAAACAAATGGGCAGAGTTTCTTTCACCCTGATGCCGCTGTTCACCTAGCAGTAAATAGATACAGCTGCTATGGGCTGCTTCCTGTAGATATGTGTGTTAAGAGAGAAATACTGTATATGTAGAATATGTAGTAGCTGGAACATTGCATCCCTCAAAAAAACGTTCTCAGATTTACATCACAAAGTAACAACTGAACACATCGATATTGTATGTGTCCAGGAGTGCAGAGTTCCCGCAAGATCCTCACCCCCGAAATTGCCCTCATTTGTTTCTTACAACCTCAGATCCAGTAACTCTTGCATTCTATACATCAAGCAATCCCTACCACATCAACTTCTGCCAGAAAAACAAACTGCCGGTCAACAGTATCATGGAGTGAGGATCTATGTGGGCAACTCTGTTCTCAATGTATTTAATCTATATGCTCCAGCAGGAAAGTTAAATTATATTGATCTTCCGGCCTGCGCTCAAGCAGAGCCAACCATCATTCTTGGTGACTACAATGCTAGACACAAGGACATTGGTGGCTCTGGCTTCAGTAACGGTAATGGGAATCAACTGCTGTCGCTACTGAATAGTTACCAAGATGTGCAGATTGTGGGTGACCTTGAACCCACGCATATCTGTGGAGGCATTCTAGACCTCAGTGTTGGTTTCAACGTCTCTCACGTCTGGTGCACATCATCTATTGTAACAGATTTGTTGTCAGATCATCACCCTAGTTTGACTACTCTATGTATAGGAAATACCATCCTGCCCGGTGGGACTTTCAAACGCAAACGGCTCAGTGTTCCTCCTGCTCGACGTGAAGACTTTGTTGCTCATGTGTCAGAGTGGTACAGCACTTATGATCCCTCCACAGTCCAGACATTTAACGACGGTCTAGTACAGAGCATTCAGATGTTTGCTGACCCTTTAGGTCGGCCCCTTGCACCATCCAATAGTCGGAACGATATGAAAGGTAATAAACGCCATGCCTATTACAATGACCCCAAACTGCGTACTTTGAAAAGCACTGCCAGACGAGTTGGGCTTGCATATAGGGAAACACGTACGCCAGCAATGCTCAAGCTCTTTCAGAAATCTCAAAAATCCTGATCTCAAAAGCTTCATAGAAGGTTGTATCAGAACCCATGAGCATCACACCAGAAATAAATACAGTTTGATATTCCTAGAGTACGACTTAATCAAACTAGAAATGCTCTACAAATCAAGGGGCCCAGAATGTGGAATGACCTTCCCAACCATGTTAAAGACTGTACCTCTCTCAACCAGTTTAAGATAAAAACGAAGCTATACCTAATAAATTCCCTGTAACCTACCTTACCCTTCTATTGTCAACCAATGTCTGTTTTTTTCTTTAAAGAGCGCTGTTTGTCGACATAATTGTATTTGTGCTGCTTTTTCATCTATGTTTTCATTTCTTGTTTTCATTCTACTCATTATGCTCAATTAGTATTAAGCTTGTCATTTAAGTTTATCATGCCCGAAACGCTTTGCGTAATAGTGGCTTTAGGCATTGTATGTACTAGCTATACCTATAAGTTAAACAATCCTTGTAAATATTTATTGTATGTATGTACCTTACCTAAATAAAATTGTATTGTATTGTATTGTATTGAAAGCCCTAGCCAAGGCGAGGGAGCGCATGACAGAGCTCAGGCAAGATAACTGGGAAACTTTTGTTAACAGTCTCAACTCTCACACCCCCTTCAGCCAGGCATAGAAGGATATTAAAAGAATTAAAGGCGATAAGATCGGCCAAGTAGCACACCCTCACCCTTTACACAGAGCAAACGAGTTAGTCGATGATTGGGCAACCACCTCTAGCTTCAATAATCTTCCCCCAGACATACAGTTCAGATTAAATGCTGGTTACGGAGATCGAGAAAGGCTCGTTGACTTCATGCTCCACAAGGAAGATGAATGCAACGTGCCATTTACTGAGTTTGAATTACTCGCGGCCCTAAACAAAGGCAAAGCCACATCCCCCGGTGAAGATGGTATCACTTATGACATTGCGTCTGCTCCCTTTAGTACCAGGGAATCCCCTGCTTGAGCTGTATAATATGAGCTATGTTACTGGGGAGCTTCCTATCTCTTGGACCAACAGTATAATCATTCCAATTCCCAAGCCAAATCAAGAGAATGCTTTCCGCCCAATTTCTCTTACTAGCTGCATTTGCAAAACATTCGAGAGAATGGTCCTAAACCGTCTCCTCCATAGAATAAGAACCATGCTATCCCCCCAGATATATGGCTTCATGCATGGAAGGAGTGTGCATCATTGCATCACCACCTTTCTTACCCTGCACACTGAAAAGTCATATACCACCTTCCTAGATCTTAAGTCTGCCTTTAATATTGCAAATAGACATGTTATCTTGAGTGAGCTTGCAAGAATGAATATTGGTGGTCGGCTTCTTTGTTGGATCAGGGGTTACTTATCCAACAGGAAGTCATCTGTATTTTTCCAGGGGCATAGGAGTGTAACAAGAGACTTTGAACTAGGCACCCCGCAGGGTGGTGTCCTCAGTCCTACCTTATTTATTATCTTAATAAACACGCTGTTAAACTCTATACCGAGCAAACCCAACGTCCACATCATTAGCTATGCTAATTACATCATTAGCTATGCTAATGATATAATGATACACACCACTGGGTATGCTAACACGCAGAACACTCTTAACTCTGTATTAGACTCATGTCAGGACCTAGGTTTAATTATCTCAGCAGAGAAAACAAAGATACTAAATCGGCGCCCACCCAGGCAGGGAGGAGCTGTTCGCAAGATGCAACTGTCTGATGGCTCCCAGCTTGACTATGTAAACAGATTCAAATACCTTGGCCTTGAGGTGCCACTGTATGGTCCTGTTGTATTCAGACTCTGTCGTCAGTTTAAAGAGAGGCTCCGAGCTCTCAAGGCTGTTGCAGGTTATCACTCAGGCTATGGTGCCAATGTCAGAATTGTCAAAATGATGTACTTTGCATACATCAGATCTTTAGTGGATTATGCTGCACCTCTGCTTGTTTTGATGCCTGAAAGAAAACTTGGAGGGCTTGAAAAATTGCAGAACGAAGCCTTAAGGATAATCCTTGGGTGCCCTCGTACCACAAAGATACTTAATATGAGAAAGGAACTTAATATTCTGAGCGTTGTTGATCGTGTTACTGAAATTAACTGTCAAATTGGTATAAAAATGCTTAGGCTAACTCATCCTAATCCTTGCACAGAAGCCCTCCAGAATTTCTTTATTGAAGATCAGCATTGTTCCAAATGGATAACAAAAACTGGAACTCAACTCAGAATGTATCAGGTTCATGATTTGTACCAAGAGAAACAACAACGGCACTTTCCTGCACCGTGGGAGGTTACACCCTTTCCAGTTTTAATCCCTCCCTTTCCACCCAAGAAGCAAATTAGAGATCAGCCCAAGCTTCGTCTTGAGGCAAAGCTCAATTCGCCTTAAGCCATATTGATGCTCTGTCCACAGAGCATTCTCTCTCTCAAATCATATACACTGATGGTTCCCTACACCGCACCACGGGTGCAGCTAGAAGTGCAGTTGTCCTGACAATGGGCGATGGCTTGTACTTTGAGTGGGGAGTCCGTATAAACAATTGGGCCTCTACCCTTCAGACCGAACTATTTGCCTTGATCCTTGCACTGAAATGTGTACAAGTCTCAAAACTTGATACATTAATTGTAAGTGACTCCTTATCATTCTTAAATGCTCTCAACTCTTTAAGACATAACTGCACATGTTCGTGTCTGAAGCTAGACACAAATACAACAAAATTATTAAGGATGGTAACAGAGTCCATTTCATGTGGTCTCCATCTCATGTTGGCCTCCGAATGCATGATAGAGCTGATAAGTTAGCCAAAGAATCTGCCTTTAAAGGAGCCGTTGAGTGTAACCTTGGATTGTCAATGAGCAATCTGAGAGCAGCAGTACACCGAGAATTTCAACAAGATCTTGTAGATCTGAGGCAAAGTGAAATTGACACCAGTAATTCCATCTATCATCATACTATCATGCAAGAGGAGCCACACATCTATGGCTCCTATTTTGATCTGTCCACTTATGACAGATTAGCAATAAAAATGATGGAAAGTTTCTTGGCATATTCCTAGACAAGAGACTCAACTTCAGTACCCACATACAACACATAACTAAGAAAGTCTCTAAAACAGTTGGTATACTCTCCAAAATCAGATATTATGTTCCTAACTCTGCTCTCATCTCTCTATATTATGCACTAATCTATCCCTATCTCAACTATGGTATCTGTGCATGGGGTTCAACCACTGCAAACCACCTCAAGTCCATCATCACCCAGCAAAAATCTGCTATCAGAATAATATCAAATTCTGCTTTCAGACAACACACAGCCCCCTTGTTTAACTCCCTAAACATGCTAAACATAATCTCACTCCACAAATTCTCCTGTGTCAACTACATTTACAAAATCCTGTTCTTAAATGCAAATCCTTGTCTGAAACTCTTCCTGGACAGATGTAATAGGACCCATTATCACCACACCAGAAATAAATATCTCTTCGATATCCCCAGAGTTAAACTTAATCTGTGTAAACACTCTATGCAAATAAAGGGACCCAGTTTATGGAACTCACTCCCTACTGAATTGAAAAGCTGTCCAACTTTTACATCATTCAAAATCAATACTAAAAAGTACCTAATTTCATCTTCATAGTTTTTCACTTTTTGCCTTAAAATTACACTATTGCTACCCAATCTCCCAACCTTTATGTTCCCAATTTGAACATCTTTACCATTGAGATCATTGCTGTTTTCTTATATGTGCTGCCAATCTGTTGTATGGTGTTTATAAATCTTGTTATCTGTATCTTTTGCTACCCAGTCTCCCAATCTTTATGTACCCATTCTGAACATCTTTACCATTGTGATCATTGCTGTCTTATATGTGCTGTCAATCTGCTGTATGGTGTCTATTAATCTTGTATAAATTACTAATCAAGCTGTCAATGTAATCAATCAGAGCTTTAATATAACAATGTGCTTTAATATACACACTTATCTCTCTCATCTCATTTTTCTCTTGTAATGTATCTTTCATTTATCAATTCTGATTGAAATTACCTACTTAAAATTATCTGCTAGATTAAGGACCTGCCCGAAACGCTGCGCGTACTAGTGGCTTTACAAGAATGTAAATACTGTACTATCCAATGTATTCTCTCAAACCCAATGTACCTTCTTGTATATATATAAATAAATAAATAAAAAAATAAATAAATAAATAAATGGATCATCCAATAAAATCAGCAGACTTCTAGATGTTACTACTGCTCGGCTTAGACTCGGTTACAAGTATCTCTGGGAATTCTCATTATCTGCTGATGTAGACCTGACCAAATGTAAACTGTGTCAACAAAATTATTCGCACACCCTCCGTCACTATATGATGGAGTGCGAAAAGATACGTGAATTTAGAGACAATTCTATAACCAATGTTCCAGCGATGTGTCAATATTTCATTCAAAATGATCTGCTACCAGAAATTTTAGCCAAATATCCCCAGTGTGCTAACTGTAGGTAGTAACTAAGTGATTGTAACCTATCCCACCGCTGCCCACGGGATGGGGGGCGGTGTAACCTATCCACCGCTGCCCACTGGATGGGGGGGGGGCGGTGTGCAGGACAAACATATCAATTTTGACACTAGCTCTCCACATATGTCAGTTGCTTAATTTAGAACCTGTACTTGAGGTCGATCTCGAACCCATTGTTGATGTGATGACTTATATTGAATTTTGTAACTAGCTCATCAAGATTGTAACTTGCTTAGCTAAATGAATTGTGGGGTTCAGTCCCCGAGCCCATTATGTGCCTCTGTAACCCTTTCCACTACCGCCCACAAGATGGGTATGGGGTGCATAATAAATGAACTAAACTAAACTTTGTAAAATCTCTTTTATGTATGTACCTTACCTAAATAAACATTTTGATTTTTTTTTTGATAAACTACCATTCAAGCTGTCAATGCAATCATTCTGATCTACCTATGTGCTTTAATATACCTACAATTTTTCTCTCGTCTTTTATTTGTTTTCATGCTATATAACTGTTATCATTTTTATAAATTTTGCAAGTATTTACCTACTTATAAGTTTCTTAGATTAAGGACCTGCCCGAAACGCTGCGCGTACTAGTGGCTTTACAAGAATGTTATTACTATGCTATGTATCCTCACAATCCCAATGTGCCTTCTTGTATATATATATATATATATATAAATAAATAAATAAATAAATAAATAAATAAATAAATAAATAAATAAATAAATAAATAAATAAATAAATAAATAAATAAATAAATAAATAAAATAATGAGATAATGGAGCGAGTATAAGATTAACTCGCTACAAACCCATGGAACCGCCTACCCGCCAAAGCCGTAAATGCCAAAATTCAGTTAAATGTTAAAATCCAGCTGGAAAAGATCATTAATGCAAATGAGGTCACTAGTGTTAGTGGCCCTCAGGTAAATTCTTATATACATCTATTATTATCATTATTATTATTATTATTATTATTATTATTATTATTATTATTAATATAAAATTATCATTAGCTTCTCTTTAAAGGCTGGTCGCTGGTATCAGCTGATGCACTGTGCCAAAACGCTGGTATTGTTAACGCATTATTACTACAGATTTGTAATATGCACTATACGACTTTTCCTATAAATGGTTTAAGTAATTTTAATAAATTATTCTCCAAGTATTGAATATAGAGAAGTGAGAAGGAGAGGAATAATGAGTTGATATGTGAGAGATGTGGCAGCGTGTGGCCGGCTGACCATAACAATGATGGCGAGAGTGCTGGGCAGGTCCGGGCTGCGAGCTGGTGAGAACTGTCTTGTTACGCCCCCTCCACACCTCCACGCCTCCTCCCTTAACACACACACACACACACGCCCCCCTCCACACCTCCTCCCTCAACACGCGCCCCCTCTACACCTCCTCCCTCAACACGCGCCCCCTCCACACCTCCCTTAACACACACACACACACACACACACACACACACACCTCCACACCTCCCTCAACACGCGCCCCCTCCACACCTATTTATTTATTTATTTATTTATTTATTTATTTATTTATGCATATACAAGAATGTACATAAGGAATGTGAGGATACAAATATGGTAATTACTGTCTTGTAAAGCCACTAGCACGCGCAGCGTTTCGGGCAGGTCCTTAATCTAAGAAAATTTTAAGGAGGTAAATACTTGCAAAAATCATAGACAAAAAAATGATAACAGATTACATGAAATGAAAAAAAAAGATGAGAGAAAATTGTAGGTACAGTATATTAAAGCACATAGGTAGCTAAGATTGATTGCAATGACAGCTTGAATGGTAGTTGACAAAAATTGGTAGGCACAATACAGCATATGGCTAGCACATAAAAGAAGACAGCAATGAACACAATGATAAGGTTGTTTGATATTACATAAAAATTAGGAGATTGGGTAACACTAGGTACAGAGCAAATTTAAAGCTCAGTGTAGGAAACTAAATAGATGAAGTTAGGTACTTTTTGGTTTTGCTTTTAAATAAGGCAAAACCACACACACACACACGCCCCCTCCACACCTCCTCCCTTAACACACACACACAACATAACACCAGCGATAACCTCTCTCAACCTCTCTGTACCTCTCTCAACCAGTTTAAGATAAAAACGAAGCTATACCTAATAAATTCCCTGTAACCTACCTTACCCTTCTATTGTCAACCAATGTCTGTTTTTTTTTTAAAGAGCGCTGTTTGTCGACAGAATTGTATTTGTGCTGCTTTTTCAGCTATGTTTTCATTTCTTGTTTTCATTCTACTCTTTATGCTCAATTAGTATTAAGCTTGTCATTTAAGTTTTTCATGCCCGAAACGCTTTGCGTAATAGTGGCTTTAGGCATTGTATGTACTAGCTCTACCTATAAGTCAACCAATCCTTGTAAAAATTTCTTGTATGTATGTACCTTACCTAAATAAACATTTATTTATTTATTATTTATTTATTATAACAATCATAGTGTTGTACTCTTGCGTTTTTTGTTTTTTTCTACCTGGTGGGGGGGGGGTCTGCCTTTGGTTCTTTCCCCCTTTTTGTACTGAGTTCTCTTCCTTCTTCCGGTGGTTTCCCTGCTAGGTCCCCGTGAGTGTACACGTCCCGGGGATTCAGTTCTTAAAAAGATGTGTACTAGACATGGGTGCCAGTTAACAGTACCCTGCCTGGGATTATCTGAGCACGAGTCCTCATATAGCAAACGCTCAGGACCCTGGGAAGCCCCTAGGGGGAGCGTGGGGCCGATGGTTGTGGCCCCGGAGTCCCCCCCCCCTCGCTTTATGCGAGTTCGAGGGTTGCATTGTCCCCTTGTCTCAGGGTGACTCTCGGTTTTGCCTTCATCTGCTGCCTGTGGGGTCGGTGACACCTTCGGCCCTGAGTCCAGCAAGTTTTGTTGCTTGTTTGTGACTTGGTTACCCAATCTTATTCTGACTATGTGGGTGCAGGCAGTTCGGGCGTTGCACTTTGGGCTTCGGTGGCAACACAGTAGGTTGTTTGCTCCCTGGAAGCCCCGAGGCTGCCCCGTTTTGGTTGGTCTTCTTGTCGGGTCCCCCCCTTTCCTCCCTGCATCCGGGTTCTTCCCGTCTGTGGGTTCGGGGTAGGGGCGGGGTTTCCATGTTTTTGAGACTCGGCTGGTCTCGGGGAATTCCCCTTCCAGGGTAGCGACGGGGGCATTTGAGCCTGTTCCTCCAGTCGTGTTGTAAGAGTCTGCCAGTGGGCTCCCTTCCTTTGTGCTTTTCACGGCTGTCCCAGTTTTTTCTTGAGGCTGGGGCTTTGGGGGGATGGCTCAGCCCCGGGGCCTACCATGTGGGTTCCCGGGGCTGGGGAGGGGCTGACTTGGGGGCCTCAGGCCCCGTTGGACCCCGCCGGGTTTTTTTCTGACCTCTGGGTGGGGCTTGCGGTTGTGTGGAGTGTGGTTTTCCTTCCCCACTCTCCACACGAGTTGTTGGGCGTCGGCCCCTCCCCGGGCTCGGTTCCTTGTCCCTTAAGCCCATTGGTTCCGTCCTGTCGGTGGGTGCTCTTCTCCGTTATTCCCCCCCTTTTTCTTGGGACAGGACTTCTCCTTCATGTTCCCCTCTTCTTGGGGTTCTGCATGACTTTTGGTCTCGGGTGCGACTGGGCCTTTCTATGCCTTCGTCATTTGTATTTCCTTCTGTGTTCTCGAAGGTTCAGGATGGTTTTTGCTCCTTCCCGTATTACTGGAACGTCTGTCGTCTTTCGGTGAGGCTTCCCTCCGGTCCTTTCTAGGGCTTGTTGGTCCTCTTCTGTGTTTCCTCTTGGTTTTAGGCCCTGTCTCGTTCTTTTGTTCATGTATCTTCTCTCCGTGCTGTCTCGGCACTGCTTGTTTTCCTTCCATACTCGTGGTCCAGAATGCCAGGTTGGGGTGCTTGTGGCCCGGTTGGGCTACTTGTCGCCCAGTTGGGCTCCTGGTAGCCTGGTTGGGTTCCAGTTCGGTTAATTGTTTTCATTAAGCCTGGCATCCCAAGCTCCCCGGCATCCCTCCCTCCTTCTGGTCGGCGGTTTTCGCGTTTTCTTGACATCCAGCCTCAGAACTGTGGTGTGGATTGCCGGCGTGGAGGTCTGGGGCTTCCCCTTCCCCCTCCCGGGGAGTGGCATACTTATGAAGATTTTCCTTCTTCAATGCGTACCTGAATACCGACATAGCCCCTACGAAGGTGCTAAGAAGAAAAAACATTCGTAAGTACCTACGTGAATCTGGCTCCAGGGCTCTTCCAGGGCTCGCCCAGAAAATGGCGTTTCATTACATTCAATGGCAATTTTTTTTGTGTCGGTAGTTTACAAATGGAATGTACTAGGCAGTGATGTGGTGGAGACAGACTCCATACACAGTTTCAAATGTAGATATGATAGAGCCCAATTGGCTCAGGAATCTGTACACCAGTTGACTGATGGTTGAGAAGTGGGACCAAAGAGCTGAAGCTCAGTACCCATAAGCACAGTTAGGCAAGTACCTATGGACCCACCCACATTCCCAGCCGAATACCCACACATTGTTAGGACAGTTATTAACTTTACCATGATAGCTTATTGACCAACCAGTTAGTATACATTAGTCATGAACATGATCCATGACTAAAGTTTACAATCTGTACTGCTTGTCACAGTATGTGACAAACACAGGTATAGGTATAAGAAACACAGATATAATACCAAGTTATATTAACCACGGTGTCTCCGGTAGAGGAACTGGGAATAGCTAATAAAAATACTGCCCTGATGCTCGCCTTACATCACTACAGTAATAGTTGGGATATAAGAGATGTGTGTGCCACTTGCTGCTGCTCATTCACCCATCACCTGCACCAAGAATAGTATTCTTGTTTGACCTTATTTGTTTGAAATGTATAATTTAAATTGAGTTAGTATTTGTTTAGCATTATAGGAGGCAGTGTTTAAGTTAATTTGCAGGGGATGAGCATCAATATTTTAGATTTGTCATTTATATTATTAATAATTTTAGGTCAAGTGTTGTGTCAAGCAGCGAAGATAAAATGGTGGTATTCACGCAGTGCCGCTGCAAGCATCACTACGCACTACACAGTGGTGCCACGAGAAACCGATCCACGATGGGCAGGTGGGTAATGTTGGGCTGATTACTAGCTATACACCACAGTTTACTGTATACAGTTTGACTTCAGTTTACAGAAGAATGCCTTCAGATGGTCAGAAATTTTTACCTGGACTCGAGCCCTGGCCAAGAAGAGTTGATTTGGCATTGATCCTTAACTGTTTGACCCTGTTCAGCCAGCAGTAAATGGGGACCTAGTTGTAAACTGATTGGCAGGGAAAGCTAGTAGAGTAAGGCTTTAAATGAGCTATGGGAAGGGAAAACTCTTTTTAAATGTCTGCCTCTGTATCAGTCTGTTTTCTGGGAGAGGTCCTTTGGTGGCTTCCTATAGCTAACTGTCTGGTTAACTCCATATGTCACACCAGGCCCATGCCAGTCATATGAAGCCTACCGGGGACCAGAGGCAAAAACCTGGTTCCCATACAGAGGTGCAAGGGGTGGGGGATGCTAGATCGCCCTAACTGGGAGAAAAGCTACCACAAAGTTAGAGCAAAACGAGATGGACAACAGCAAGAAAAAATATATAAAAAATCATGACAAATAGGAACATAGTTCCTATTTGTTCCATAGACAAATAGTTAGGTCATTATCCCCTATTGTTACTCCCCTTCCTCTCCACCAACAGGTGGCAGTCCCGGGAACTCCTTGTCTGACTGGGGTCAATCCATCAGTCATTTGCTTGTGCAACCCTGTTTGCATGTGCTTTTCATGTCGCCATCACCCTTTGAAACCCAGGAGACAGATTCACGAAGCTGTTACGCAAGTACTTACAAACCTGTACATCTTTTCTCAATCTTTGGTGGCTTTGTTTGCAATTACAGTATTAAACAGTTAATGAGCTCCGAAGCACCAGAAGGCTGTTTATAACAATAACAACAGTTGATTGCGAAGTTTCATGCTTGTAACTGTTTAATAAATGTAACCAAACCCGTCAAAGAATGAGGAAAGATGTACACGTTCGTAAGTACTTGCGTAACTGCTTCATGAATCTGACCCCAGTTTTCCAGAGCCTCTCGTTTCAAAGGATGGCCAGTAATGGCCATCCTTTGTATTTTGTTTTGCAAGAGTCTTTTGTTTGTGTTTGTTTCTGTTTTAGTGTACATCTTAACATGCCTTACTTGTTGTGTGGATCGTGAGTAACTGTCCATCTCAAACTGCATGACCTTTGGGTTCATACTTATGCATTCATGTTCATGTTCCGTTCTTCTTGGACCTTTACTGGTGTTGTCTCTGTCCAGTCAGGGTTACTTTCTCTAGTGGATTTGGGTGTGTGTCTAACTCCACTCTCTTGTGGAGGGTGCCTTTCCCCGAATAGTAAAACGGTCTTGGATTCACATCAAAATCACAATAACGTGAAATATCAAATGAACAAATCGACAAGGACCGTGATGAGGGTTCGAACCTACGCACGGGATGTTCCCAGGTGCGCCTTCGTCAACTGTACCAAGACATAGTCAAAAGAATTGCAACCTACAGTGTTACTGCCCTCACTAGGATCCTGAAGCTTCTCTGAAGCCCAATCAGGGTGTCATATGAAAAGATCTAATTCAAGATCTAATTGATCTAATTCAAGGTTTTCTTGGCAGACTAGTGATTATTGAGGACATGCTAAAGAATTATGAAGAAAAAGTAATTAAATTAGAACAAGAAAATGAAGGTCTCAAGATCGAGTTTTGTAATTTAAAAGTATTTGCCAGCAAGGTAAGGAAATTACCAGCTTGACTGATAAGGTAAGGATACAGGAGGAACACATCAAGGAACTAGTGAAAGATAATGAGGCATGGAAAGTGAAGAGTGGTGAATTTGAAGAAATAAACAAGAACATAGACTCATACGGTGAACAACTCCAAGGGACCCTGAGGGCTAACATGGAGTTAGGCAAGGATCTGCAACGAGAAACTTCATTGACAACTTGCATAGAGGTGGTTAATAAAGAACTGGAAAAGAATAAAGAAGAAATATAAGAGACATATCCGCACATTGTAAAACAGAGAGACAATCAAATAAGTGTGTTAGGTATGCAATTAGGAAAGAACTGGTAACCAACAGTAAACTAGTACAAAACATTGCAGATAGAAGTACAGGGAAACCTCGGTTCTCGTAGGCCCAGGTTCTCGTAATTTTTGATGCTCGTAGTCAGTTTCTCTGAAAAATTTGATTTGGTACTCGTTGTTTGCCTGGGTGCTCTGAATTCATTTATACATGTCCAGGTCCACCAAGCACGTGGTTCTGTTCTGCCGGGCGAGGGGCGGGACGAGGTGTGCACAGCTTACCAGTGTCTCCTGCCTATTGCCTAGTGACGATCGCACTTGAATATTGTATTTGGTAGGACAACAGGATGGATGGTGAGGGGACTGGGTGGATGGATGGTGAGGGGACTGGGTGGATGGATGGATGGTGGATGGGGGGGGCTGGATGGATGGATGGTGGAGGGGGGGCTGGATGGATGGATGGTGGAGGGGGGGGGGCTGGATGGATGGATGGTGGAGGGGGGGGGGGCTGGATGGATGGATGGTGGAGGGGGGGGGGGGGGCTGGATGGATGGATGGTGGAGGGGGGGGGCTGGATGGATGGATGATGGAGTGGGGGGGGCTGGATGGATGGATGGTGGAGGGGGGGGCTGGATGGATGGATGGTGGAGGGGGGGGGCTGGATGGATGGATGGTGGAGGGGGGGGCTGGATAGATGGATGGTGGAGGGGGGGGGCTGGATAGATGGATGGTGGAGGGGGAGGCAGCAAAGTGGGTGGATAGGCTGGCAGCAGTGGATGGGCAGGTGTCAGTGGGAGGATAGGCAGTAGTGAGTTTTGACTGAGCCTCCTCCTTAGGACAGAGCTTATCAGGCAGTTGCGGCTCTGCAGGATCATTTTTTCTTGATTTCTTCATTGCATTGATGATGTTGACTTATTCCAGGTTTACCCCGCTGTCTCTTTCTTCTCACGGCTTTTCAGGTGAGGTCTACAAGGCTTCCTGTCCCTCTTCTTTGCTATGAAGCATTTTCGGACTTTGGAGCCTGGGGGTTGTTTTTTTTCTGTGGAGATCCCTGTTACGTCTCGTCCACACAGCTCATTAACCCTTTAACTGCGCAACGTGCCTGCAGGCCCACGTCTGGGGTGCGCTACGCGCCTCCGGGTATTTGTATTTTTCACGTTCCATTCAAAGTCCACTCCAGCGGCTACATGGGGTTCACATCAGCTTCCTCAGGGCTCTTTTAAACAGACGCTATCTTTAAAAAAAAAATCGTGGTCCACATTCCCGGGTGTGAGAGCCTCAGTAGTGAGTGAGCAACCAAGGCCAGCACACGCAGCATGAGCTCACAGCACTGCTGTTCAGCTTGTGACCACAGCATCGCCTAATAATGTCAAAAAATATATATAACTTGTATTATTTAGCCATGATAGTATTACAGAAGAGCCTGAGTGTGATAATGACTGTGTACAATGTTCAGATATTAGTGATTCAATGCTGTTCACGATGTTCACAGCACTAACCACAGCTCCACAGCATTATTTCGTCCATCTAGGAATCTTCAAACGACTTCATAGGTTCCTTTACAAAATAAACTTGTGGTCAATTATGTATTTACAGGATTTATTTCGTAATAACAGCAGGATTGTGGTGATAATAAGCACTGTGCGTAGTATTGTGGGAGGAGTAATTGTGGTGAGGGAGCGAGGGAGAGAATCGAGGTGGCCTCACTGTGTTTGGCAGCTACTCTCGTTTTGTTCATCATACTAGCTTAGTTGTTCGCTATGGTGAACGCATATGTACATGGGTATATACAATGTGTGTATATACTCATGTACATATGTGCGTAGTATTGTGGGAGGAGTAATTGTGGTGAGGGAGCGAGGGAGAGAATTGAGGTAGCCTCACTGTGTGTGGCAGCCACTCTTGTTTTGCTCATCATAGTAGATTAGTGGTTCGCTATGGTGAACACAAATGTACACGTGTAGTAATTGCTACAGGAGTATGTTGGGGAGGAGCTATTTTGGTGAGGGAGGTGACGTAATCGTAGCGTCGTCTGCTGGCTGCTGTGTGATTTCTCATGCAGTGTATGGTGGCCACTGTAAAGTTTGGACACAATACCTGCTTACTTACATAGTTTTGGTGAATAAAACATGTAGATAGTTATACATAACATGTATAAATAGTGTAATACAAACAATAACAGTATGGTGAGAGGAGCAATGTTGGTGAGTAAGATGTTGGAGGAGTGAGGGAGAGACTGGATGTTGAAGGAGTGAGAGTGTGGCAGCTGACACTCGCGGAGTTCCGAGTGTGTTGATGGTGAATGTATATAGTGTGTGATAGTGTATAGTGTGTAAATACTGTATATATACATAAATTAGCATGATACAATGGAAATATGTGCTGGATGTGTGTACACACATGTCATGCACATAACACAGTGTCTTCGGACAGTATAGATGTGCTTCTGCCATAATATAGTGTACGTGTTCATTATACATAGGATTGGCACGTAAAAGCATATGAAATGTATTTCAAACTGTGCTCAGAAAATGAACAAAAATATATTCGCGGCAACTTGGGCATCCTGCCCCGAGCGCCCTACCGGCCCAGGGAGCGTACGCCACAGGCGACCAGGGAATGATGACGTCATGCACGAATTTACGGACCCCATAGCAGCCAAAGTACGTTCAATTTCGACCTTCTGTTACTATACCCATATTCAGGGAAGGGTTTTTGACACTTTCAAAACAGAAAAGAATTTTTTCCAGAGATTTTATTTCCTGCGCACTGAAGGGGTGTCATATTTGGAAGCCGCACAGTTAAAGTGGTGCGGGAATACTGTGAGCCAGACTGAATAACTTTGTTACCACCCCGAGATATGTCAACAGGTCTACTCAGCAGAGCATTCAGGAGTAATCTGAATTGTAGTGGGCTAGGTAGCCCTATATATATGCGAGAACGGCGGTGCAGGTGGCGCTGGTATTCATGGGTAACTATGAACCGGCTCACTTTAACTGCTTGTTTGAGATGTCGTGATCCTGAGGCGTCACCAGGTGCGAGGAGGGTGATGGGCTGTGGGGGGTAGTCTGATGGTACTGTCTAGACGTCTGGAAGTGTTGTTGTTGTTGTTGTTGTTGTGGCTGCAGTTCTTGAATATATATACGTGATATGATAGAATAGGTGATGATGGAGCAGGCCGAATCTCTTCCTAAAGATTTTACCGTGACAGGTTCTTCTCCCTTTATTGGGTCTGTTCTGAGGTTCCAGTGTTGTCCTGGCTAGCGGACTGTCCCTTGTTTTTGATTGGAGCATGGCATGGCTTTTGTCGTCCCACAAGCTTGTTTGGCGGGAGGTGTCCCCCTGTGTTTCAGTATTTTGTGCTCCTCTCTGGTGCTGGGAGTTTTGTTCCTTTAGTCCTGGTAGTCGTTTTGTTCGGTTACAGCCAGCTCCTTCTTTTCTGGCGAAGAATGTGTTGGCAGGCTTCCGGAGGGGTCCTTTTGTTGTGGATGCTTGATTGGTTTGGTTGGGGTGCATCATGCACCTTGTCCGGTAGTGGCTTTTCACCGCTTCCTTCGGGCCACCGGTTCTGTTTCTATGGACTCATTGTGGGTTGATCCAGTTTCCAGGGCTCATTTTTCTCAGGTTGTCCACAGTTTTCTTGCAACTAGCCAGCCTGTGGTCTACCCTCGTGCCCATGATGTTAATATATATATGCCGCTCTGACACCTGGCTTTGGTGATGTGCCTTCGGCTGATATTTGGGCTCGGGGATTTTGGAGGACAACTGGGGTCTTAGCTACAGGGGGTATCTCGTCACCGTCCCTGGTCCTCTGCGACCATATGTTGCATTGAGTCGTGTGTTGCAGAGGTCGGTCTCTCCTTTGACTTGATACCTGCAGTGCTGCCGACTCCCTGGTTACTGAACTTTCTTGTCCCTCTCTGGTTATCTTATCTTGAGGTTATCTTAAGATGATTTCGGGGCTTTAGTGTCCCCGCGGCCCGGTCCTCGACCAGGCCTCCACCCCCAGGAAGCAGCCCGTGACAGCTGACTAACACCCAGGTACCTATTTTACTGCTAGGTAACAGGGGCATAGGGTGAAAGAAACTCTGCCCATTGTTTCTCGCCGGCGCCTGGGATCAAACCCAAGACCACAGGATCACAAGTCCAGTGTGCTGTCCGCTCGGCCGACCGGCTCCCAGGAAGTTAGCTAGCTTCAGGAAGGTGACAGGCTCCATACAGAAAACCAGTGTTGAATGTAATGAAATGCCAGTTTCTGGGTGAGACCTGAAGACTCCCTTACACCCACCCTTCCTGAGGTCGTTGGTGGGGGGCAAACTAGCAGAGGGTTGGTTTTACAAAATTTTATTTTCATTCAGGGATAGTTCTTTTGGCAGTTTTGTGGCTGCAGTTTCGTTTTAACCATGCAGTGGTCTATTTTGATTCACCTATCTTTCTGAGGCCTTCCTTTGGAAGGTGGCAAAGATGATAAACTTTAAATGTAAAGGGTTCATAGGCCATCGCTTCCTGCACTTTTTGGAGGGGACCAGGTTCTGGCTCGTGGTTCCCGGGAGGCCAATAGAACGCCGGGACTGATGACACCTAGTAGTAGTATGGCACTTAATTAGTGATGATGGCTTCAAGGTGCCTCCGGGGCTCACCCAGAAACTGGCGTTTCATTACACTCGACACTGGTTTCTCACTGTATTCAACATCCTATTTGTAACAGATGTGTTTCAAATAAGACGTTGTATAATTTTCATATTTATTGGCACTACAAATTTGAATTATTGATTTGAATTTCAAGGACACATAATTTGATATCAATTGAATGCAAAGTTTTTCAGATTGATTCTCTTGTATTCAAATTTTTGTTGCACTGAGTTTATTTGGAGCTAGAGTCCAATGCACTGTATTTCAAGAAGTATTTGGGAGCATTAAGCCAATGTAGATTCATTAGGGCATCCTTGTTAAGCTATAACATTTAAGGAAAGTATTGAAGGAAAATATAGATACAGTACTGTACTGCCAGTGGATAACCTGATATTTTTTTGTTAATTTCTTGATTATATATTTTGGTATATTGCCAGATGTGAACATGGAACGATATGCAGATGAAGCTGATGTAGTGATAGTAGGTGGAGGTCCAGCTGGTCTGGCCGCCTCCATCCGACTCATGCAGTTGGCCCAGGAACAAGAAAAGGAGATTCGTGTCATGTTGGTGGAGAAAGCTGCAGACATTGGTTAGTGAAGCTGGAAATATTTTAAGGTTATGAATGCTTTTTCTGTCACATTTAAACATTCATGAACATTTTATGGGTTACTCATATTAATTTAACACTTTCCCGGCCTGATGCCACATATTTCGTCATAAAGCCAAAACACACAGACTTCCTGATGACGTAAACAGCATCATGCAAAATTTTGTGAAATGTCTTATTATTAAGTATAAACATTGTGAATGAAGGGAAGGGAATTATGAGGAGAAAGCACCAAGCCATGATGACTATATAGCCCTTAGAAAGGATTAGGATAAGGATTTAGGATGAGACGGGGAAAAGGAATGGTGACCAACCACCTGAACGGTCGGGGATTGAATGCCGGCCTGCATGCAGCGAGACCGTCGCTCTACTGTCCAGCCCAAGTAGTTGGGGTGGACGAATGAGTTTAACATTGGGTTGTGTGCTCCCTAGGAATGCTCGGCCTATTTTCCGGTGCGATTTGGCTGCCCCGCCGGGCCAGCAAAAGTGATTTGTTAATAAATCCCTGTATGTATTGAGCCTATTTTTTTAAGCTAGTTATACCATTTGCCTTGATGTTAATAGGTACCCTCTTTCACTCATCTACCTCCCTGTTGCCAAACCAATACTACTTCCACATATCCTTCCTGAATCTTAACCCTTAACCACTTAACTGCGCCAACCGAGAAAACTCTTTTTGATTTTTCCGTACCCATTTTAAATGTGTACGAGGTTTGTTGTATACGAAATGGACTCTTAGGACATCCAGTTAGAGGCAGCCATCTTGGAAAAAAATTCCCAGAATGCCCTAGGGCTGCTGGCTGGGTTAGTACTGAGTGAGCAACTATGGGTGACGCATGTGCCTCTGGCTCCCAAACACATGGTGTTGAAAGATAACGCTCTGTCGGTGAAATTCAAACCTTATTGTTTGAAGAACATAAGGAGTCATAATATTGGTGAAGCTAGGCGCAATAAGGACCTAACACAAAGGTCGGATGCAAGTGATACAGCACCGATGAGGACGATGCAGCGAGAGTATCCAGTTGTAGCTCTGAACATCACACTTGCCCACCTATGCTATCTCCAATTTATACCAGGCTGATATGCATATAATAGACTGTGGAAATTTTCCCAAATTTTTGGGAACACTTTATTTCATGCACATGGGAAATTTCCCATAAACTTGGCACAGCACGGCGGTTAACCCTTGTATGGCGCCAGGCTATTTAGCATGTGTCACTTATAGGCGCATACCAAAAAAAAAAAAATAAATTATTTTTTCTTCTAAACCTGTTAATTTGTGTTCACTGATCATGGAAAAAACAATAATAAAATCGTAAGTGGCATATATTGCCCGCTATAGGGCGGGGAAGTCTGGCAAAAAACAGGCGCGGACTCAGCATGTGTCCCAGACGGTCTGTTGATCGCCAGCTGTCAGGCCAGAGTTGCCACAAAGAGATAATTACCTAATTATTTCAATGTCTTGGATTGATTTTTCGTAGTTTTTTTGCTGTAATATTATTCAATAGTGTGTAGTGTGATATATTTATATAATAAAATGAGTGAATCATCACTGTACTCAAAAATATGGTTATCTTGAGGTTATCTTGAGATGATTTCTGGGCTTTAGTGTCCCCGCGGCCCAGTCCTCGACCAGGCTTCCACCCCCAGGAAGCAGCCCGTGACAGCTGACTAACACCCAGGTACCTATTTTACTGCTAGGTAACAGGGGCATAGGGTGAAAGAAACTCTGCCCATTGTTTCTCGCCGGCGCCTGGGATCGAACCCAGGATCACAGGATCACAAGTCCCACATGCTGTCCGCTCGGCCGACCGGCTCCTATATTACTGTGTGCATATGGTGTACATATTATTGATTCAATTATATTCATCAAACAGTGAACAAATACTTTGTTGGTTATTACACTATATACACAGGTTATATATAACTATTTGCATGTTTTTTCACCATAACGAACCACTAAGTTGCTATTATGAGTCAAAAAGTAACGAGGAGTGACCGCCACACACCAGCCAGCCACACACTCCCTCAACACCTCACTCGCCCACATTCTCCTCCCACCATACTGTTTTTGCTTTTATTCACTATATATAGACGTTATATATAAGTATCTACATTCGTGTTCACCATAACGAACCACTAAGTTGGCATGCTGAGTGGCAGTGCCAGTGGCAGCCCGCCACTGGCTGCTACTTCCTCCCTCCCTCAAGTCACCTGACTCATCCACATTCTCCTCCCACAATACTGTTTTTTCTTTTATTCACTATATACAGACGCTATATATAAGTATCTACATTCGTGTTCACCATAACAAACCACTAAGTTGGTATGCTTAGTGGCAGTGGCAATGGCAGCCAGTGGCAGCCCACCACTGGCTGCCACTCCCTCCCTCACCTCACCTGACTTACCACCATTCTCCTTCCACCATACTGTTTTTGCTTTTATATACAGACGTTATATATAAGTATTTACATGTTTTGTTCACCATAACTGTACATCTAAGCTTGTATGGTCAGTAAAGGCACAAAGACGTAGGACCTCACACAGTCAGCTGGTGGCGGCCACCCTGAAGGCCAGACGCACTAATATTTCTCCTCCAACAATACTGTTTGTGGTGTTATTACGCTATATACACACATTATATATAAGTATCTACCTGTTTTATTCACCATACTTGTACAAGTAAAGTGGTATGGTGCCTCATAGACCATCGTGGTAACCAGTAAACAACACCGTTGTCTGCACGGTGGCGTCGTGCAGACGACGCCACCTCCCTAACCAAAATGGCGGCTCCCAACCTACTCCTATTGCTGTTTATACCCTCTCTACACATGTTATATATAAGTATCTACATTTGTGTTCACCATAGCAAACCACTAAGCTGGTATGGTGAGTGCAGTCAATAAAAGGTGGCCACACAGTCAGAAGACAACGCCACCACCCTCCCTCCCACAGCATTACTCCTCCCTCCATGGAGCACAGCACTAAATATCACCACAATCCTGCTATTATCAGAACCCTGGTCAGTTTTATCACAGTCAGGGGGTCTTCTGTAATAATATCATCGTTACATAATAGCATGAACAAGTATATTATGGCATTTTTAGGCGATGCTGTGGTCACAAGCTGAACAGCAGTGCTGTGAGCTCATGCTGCGTGCGTCAGGCTTGGTAGCTCACTCAATACTGAGACCCCTAACACCCGGGAATTTGGCCCACGATTTAAAAAAAAAAATGGCGTCTGTTTACAAGAGCTCAGATGAAGGTGTGGTGAACCCTGTGTATCCACGGGCCGTTTAAATCTTGCATAGTATTCCAAAGCATCATATGATGCAATGCGCAATTTACTGCAAGTCGGTCAAAGCATCATATGATGCGATGCGCAATTTACTGCAAGTCGGTCAAAGCATCATATGATGCGATGCGCAACTAAAGGGTTAAGCTACTATGGGCTTAATGGCCTTCAACACCACCAGGCGCCAATTTTTTTTTTTTTCGTCTTATAAAAGTGTTCATTTGTGTTCCATCTCCACCTTAGCTGCCAGGCGGGAGTTGCCACAAAGATATTATTACCTAATTATTTCAGTGTCTCTTATTTCTGTGAGGCGCCCCTTCGGCTTCCCGGAGCTCCGGGCTGATATGAATGTATTAGACTGTGGCATCAGTCAAAGCGAATGTAGTTTTGCCTACCAGGGACCACAAGCCAGAATCTGGCATCTTTCTATATGCAATGGCATATAGAAACTCCTCTGTGGCTGGAAGCATTCTATGTCTGTTATCGACTGGATCAGGCACCCAGAAAGGTAGGTGCACCAAAACAAACTATCTGGTAAAAAAATTGCTACTGAAAGCTGAACTTTTGAACAGAACTCCCCAAACTAAAATGAGCAAACGAGCATGATGTCACATCGGTCACCGTGCTGCTGTCTGCGCTGCTCCCCCTCCCCGAGAGGAACTGCACAGCTCCGAGGGGAGGTCCAGACCCGCGCATGCCGACTTTCCACCCCCCAGTTCTGAGGCTGATGTAAGGACGGGCAGTTGTGCGACTCTGGTTCCTGACGTTTCTTGTGGTGTGGTCCTGTCCTGTCCTTTGGTGTGTGAACCAGGAGTAATTTCACCAGTACTTCTGGCTTCATGCATCTAGGGGTCCCCTTCCCTAGGTGCCCTGTAAGTACTGCCTTTGTGACTTGGGATTACCTTCCACAAGTCACTTGGGGTCTACCTCTGCGGGGTCTTTTGCTACTCGGTAATTTCCCACCCTTAAAGTCAGCTAGAGTGTTTCATGCACCACTGTTTGCCTCTGGGTAGGTGGTTTCGTCACTGGTAGGGGCGCAAGGTACTGTGCAGCTTGTTTTCACCGTAACATAGCGGCCAACTGTTCTGCCTGGTGGTGATGTACTCTTGTAGGGTTTTTTCTTTTCTTTTCATTTTCTGCCTGGTGGGGGGGGGGTCTGCCTCTTAAGTGTTTTTGACCCTTACATGTATTCTTGGTGATCCTCCAGGGAGCCGGTTGGCTGAGCGGACAGCACACTGGACTTGTGATCCTGTGGTCCCGGGTTCGATCTCGGGCGCCGGCGAGAAACAATGGGCACAGTTTCTTTCACCCTATGCCCCTGTTACCTAGCAGTAAAATAGGTACCTGGGTGTTAGTCAGCTGTCACGGGCTGCTTCCTGGGGGTGGAGGCCTGGTTGAGGACCGGGCCACGGGGACACTAAAGCCCCGAAATCATCTCAAGATAACCTCAAGATAACCTCCACTAGGTCCCTGCGAGTGTACACGTCACAGGGGTTCAGCACTTAGTAGTTTGCTTGGTGGTTTTTGGCATAGGTTAGCAGTACCTTGCCTGGGTTTCCCTTAGCAGCACATCTAAGGGCCCTGGAAACCCCCATTAGGGCTCAGTGGTCTGATGGATGCGTCGGTCCCATCTCCGACGGAGATGGGACCGACAAGGGCAAGTTTGAAGGTCGCTCTGTTCCCTTGTCTCAGGGTGACAAACACCTATTCTGCCTTTGTCATGTTGCCTGTTGGGTCAGTGATACCTTCGACCTGGAGTCCTGTGAGTGGTGTTCCTTGCTTGTACTCCAATTCACCCAATCCACTGATCTTGATATTCGCGTGCAGGCGGCTTCCGCGTTGCATGCGTGTTTTAGGATGCTGCAGCGTACTCAGTTGGTTGCTCACCCAGATGCCCTGAGGCTGCCCCATTTTAGTTATAGGGACCCAGACTTGGGGGCATTAATCACCCCAAGTTTGGTTTCGTCCATACCCCTTTGTCCTTTCCCTGCTGTTGTTCGTCCTGTTCCTTTCCCCCATGCACCTGGTTCCGAAGCGTCAGAGGGTTTTGGAGTCTGGGGTAGGGTTTAGTTGGTGGTGAGACTTGAGCAGTTTCGGGGGATGCTCCATCCGGTGTGACAATGAAGGCATTCGAGCTTGTTCCTCCAGCCGGATATTCTGGGTCTGACCAGTTGGCCCTCCCCTTCTTTTCTGCTTTTCTGTTGAACTCTGCCTTTTCTTTTGAGGCAGAGGGTTTGGAGGACGGCATAGCCTTGGGCCCTAGTGTTGAGGTTCCTGGGACAGGGGGAGGGGCTTACTTGTGGAGCTTGGGCCCTGTTTGACCCTGCTTGGGTGTTGATACCCTCTGTACAGGGCTTGTTATTACAAGGGGTGGAGTTTTCTTATCCTCCCTCCCTGTACGAGTTTGATATGGCATCAGCTCCTCCCCGGGTTCGTTTCTGGGTTCCCTTGGGTTCTTCAGTCCTTCCTTCCTGAGGTTTTTGGCTTCCTGCATCCCGCCTCATGGAGTGCAAGGAGGCACTTGTGGCTTACCTCCTGCGTGACCTGGATTACGCCTCGATAATGGGTCCTGCCTCTTTTGAGTTCGCTTCTTCCTTTCTTTACTGGGTGCGTTATGAGGTTCCGGAGTCATCCTGTTTGGTAGGATGACCCGGTCCTCTCTTTTCGTTGGGGGTGTGGCATATGGTCTGTCGGTCTCCCACGCTTGAGTGGTGAGAGGCTCTTGCTGTTGTTCAGGTTTACCTCGGGGTGGGGGGGGGTGGTCAAATTTAAAAGCCTCAATGCATGTTTATTCGCCTCTACCCTTCCTTGGGACATCGGCGTGGTGCAGCTTTACGTGCAGGTTTCCTCCATTTCGGTGACTCTGGTGGTTGAGGACTTGCATGCACGTGGCTATCCCTTCTCAAGCTGTCTTCGGACAGCTGGGTTCCGATCCAGGGTCTGGTGCGCTGTTCTCAGCGGTGCGGGCATCAGCTACCCTGTTAAAGCTGTTTGCGCGATCCTGCAGGAGGTGGTGTCTCTTTTCTTTGCTTCTCGTCTTGCATGCCGTCAGGTGGTGCTTGCTTGCTCGATGGGGGAGGGGGGGGGTGGCTCGTGCTGTTTACTCATGCCTGGTCCCACGATTTGTGGGCATTTCGGGTCGTTTCTTGCGGCCTGCGGTGGCGTTGGGTGGTCCCTCCTCTTTTGGAAGGTTTGGGGCTGGCAAGGCAGACCTCTTCTCCTATGCTGTCAGGTCATCTTGCAATGGGTTTGCTTGGGCATGGTCGTAGTGTCCTCGTCCCTCATGTGGGTTTCCGGCCTGTTTCCTGTTCCGAAACGGGACTGTGCTGACCTGCGGTTCATTCTGGACTTGTCCTGTCTGAACCCCTGGGTCTATTACTCCTTGTTTCGGATGACTACTCTGTCCCAGGTCCGTCTCCTCTTGGAGCCGGGTGCTTGGATGGTGTCACTGGACCTCCGGGACACATATTGGCACGTCCCGATTCAACCAGGGTTCAGGGACTGGCTAGGTTTTCTTGTGGGGCATTAGGCTTACCGCTTTTGTTGCCTTCTATTCTGCTTGACTCTGGCACCTTGGGTGTTCACACGCCTTACCCAGGTCGTGGTAGCCTGTTTGCATCTCTTAGGGGTTCTGGCCTACCTTGACGACTGGCTGATGTGGGCTCTCAGTCAGTCCCGTGTCTGCTCGCCAGGGATTTGATTCTTTCCTAGCTTGCCGGGTTTGGGTTCTTGGTGAAATGGAGGAAGTCCCATCTGGTTCCCTCTCGGGTTCGGACGTGGCTTGGTCTTGTGTGGGACTCTCAGACCACTTCCTGGTTTTTCCCTCCGGAGGCTCTGCTATGGTTGCGGTCTCACCTCCAGCTGTTTCTGGAGGGCTCCTGGGTCACAAGGCAGTTGCTCAAGGGTTTGAGCGCGAGTCTGAACTTTGCTGTGTTGCTCTGCCTGCCGGGCCGGCTTTGACTTCGTCACCGGGTCTGGTTCCTTAGGGGACGCCCCTTCCGCCTCTCTCGCATTTGCTGGGTTCAGCCTCCAGGTGACTTACGTCTGCTGCTGCATCTCTGGCTTCCTCTTCAGATTTTTTTGGGTTCAGTGCCTTGGCGCATTCCCGAGCCCTCGCTCGATGTGTTCACGGATGGGTCGTCTCTTGGCTGGGGCTTTGTGACCAGTGCTCACCAGGCTGTTGGTGGGGCCCGTCCTTCTGTTGGACCCACAGTGCGGTGCAAGAATTTGTGTCGGTGTGGATGTCGCTTTGGAGGATTTGGGTTGCTCGAGGTTCGATGATCTAGCTCCATTTGGACTACTCCCTGGTGATTCATTGCGGTCCTTGGCTCTTTGGGGCTGGTCGCTTCGGGTGACTCATCTGCTAAGTTCTTGGGATTTGATTCTCCTGGCCATTCACATTCGGTGGTGTGTCCAACGTCCTGGTGGACGGCTTGTCACAGTTCATTTTTCTGTCCACGGAATGGACGGCCGACGCCGACTCATTCAGTTGGCTCTGCCAGACATACTAGCTCCTGGAGGTGGACGTCTTTGTGTCGGCGGGGTCGAGGCATCTCCCGAATTATGTGGCGCTCTTCCCCGACTGTGAGGCCACCAGGGTCGATGCCTTCAGGCAGGACTGGCCGAGGTGGGGGTACCTGTTCCTCTCCCCCCCCCCTAGTTCTGCTGTTACTCCAGGTCCTGGCTCGCTTGGAGACTTACCAAGGGAGAGTAGTCTTGTTGGCCCCTTTGTGGCTAGCCCAGCCTTGATTTCAGGTGCTGCTTACTCGGTGTCAAACCTGGGGTTCTTCCCACGGCTCTGCCTCTTTCAGCAGATCGGGCCAGTCCATTACAAGTTAAGCCTTCGCGTCTGGTCTTTCGGACGCGGGTCTATCACCATTTGTATGTAGAGCAGGTGGCCTTGTTGATGGTGTCCCACCTGCGTGCTTTGTCTCAGTGGCAGAATGTTTCCTGGCAGTACTTTCGTTACTCCTTGTCCCTCCATTGGTTTTCTTCTGTTTCAGATCGGGTTGTCTTGTCCTTCCTATCTTGGTTGTTTCAGGATCGTCATCTTATGCCGAATACTGTCGCCTCGTATCGTGCAGCGCTGGCGAAGCCTCTTCAGCTTTCGTTCAGGGGTGGATGTTACTTCTGCTCTGTTCTGCAAGCTGTCTCGTTTATTGTTTCACCTCTGGCCTTCTCATGCGCTGCCTGAGCCATCCTGGTCATTGGACTGGATGATCTTTTCCTCTCTTCTCCTTGGTCTGTTGTTGCCCCTTCGGTTCAAGATTGTTTTCGAAGGCTCCTTTCCTGTTGGCATTGGCCTCTGGGGGGTCGGGTTGGGGAACTTAATGCTCTCCTTCGACACAGAAGTTTCTGCTCTTTTGGTCCTGGTGGTAGGTTTGTTCGTTTACAGCCGTCTCCTTCTTTTCTGCTGAAGAATGAGACTGCTGCTTTCCGGAAGGTTCCCTGGGTGGTTGATGCTTGGTTGGTTCGGCCGGGGGTACATCATGTGTTGTGTTCGGTTGCGGCTCTTCGCTGTTACCTGCACACCATGGCCTTGGTGGACTGGGCTGCGCTTTGGGTTGACCCAGTTTTCCTTTTTCCCCTGTTCCAGGGTTTGACTCTTCAAGGTCGTCCTTGAAGCATAGAATGCTTCCAACCATATCAGGGTTTCTATTGGCCATTGCTCCTCATGCATCTCTGAGGGGGGCCAGGTTCTGACTTGTGGTCCCCGGTAGGCTAAGAACTCCAATCAAATTGACTGATGCCACGGTCTGTTATATGCATATCAGCCTGGTATAGCTCCAGGGAGCCTCTGGGACTCTCCCAGAAAATGGCGCTTCATTACATTCAACACTGGTTTTTTTCTTCTTTCAAAACTAAACATGGTGACATTCTCTAACAAGCCTTTATTCATTGTCATTATTTATCCCTAAAATGCAGAGTAAACTCATAAAGGTATGAAGAACTTGTTGTCCTCAAACGTTTACTATATTCTGCATAGTAGAGAGCAGTAGGTAATTTTTATTCACCTATATATTTTCTATGTAGGTGGCCACACAGTGTCTGGAGCATGCCTAGAAGCTCGTGCCTTGGAAGAGCTCTTCCCAGACTGGAAAGAACGTGGCGCTCCGCTCTACACTCAGGTTATAGCCGACAAATTTGCCATCCTTACTGAAAAGAGGCGAATAAGTATTCCTATATTACCTGGTAAGAATAACTTTTAAGAATATTACTATATGAAGATAGCATGTAAGACATAAGAGTATTAAATAATACATATTACAAACCTGTTCATGATCTCTTACCATGTGGTGGCCAGCAAGTAATGAATGGCTTTACCTGATAAAGAAACATTGTGCATTGTTACTTCAAAGTTACAGCAAAGATAAACATACAGGTTTTGGGAGATTTTCCTACTATACTGTAAGGTGTTGCAGCTGGTTGTAGAGTTAATAAGGAAAACAACTGCTCAGTTTTCATGTTCGATGCAGAACAGGTGGTTGAGCATGCAATGTTGCCTTGCTGCTCTTTATTAAGGTCTGCTTCTGCAAGTAAACATATAATTACGTAGGAGATTAAGACATTACACAATTGGATGAGTGGGTAAGTGGGTTGGTAGTATTGGTGTTAGTGTAAGAACAAGACCGTTAATAGTTTGTTTTATTCATTATCATTTATCATACCTGGATATAACCCTTTTTATTTTGGAATGAGTTGTTTATCATACTAGCCATTACCTTGCTATTCACAACTTTACAACTCCAGGTCAGAGTTCATTGTTAAAAAATGTAAAGACAATACCTGTTTATTTCAGCAAATATTTTGCTGCTGCTTTATTCTTGGAGATTGGGTATATAGATAGTTCATGACATTTTGTGCTACCTTTTCTGCTTGGCAAAGTAGCTGACACACCACTTACTGACATAGGTATGCCAATGCACAACCACGGCAACTACATTGTTCGATTGGGGCACCTTGTTCGGTGGCTGGGAGAGCAAGCGGAAGAGATGGGAGTAGAGATATATCCTGGCACGCCTGCATCAGAAATTTTATATAATGAAGATGGATCAGTTGCTGGTGTTGCCACCTCAGATGTCGGCATTACTAAGGATGGGTCTCCAAAGGTAAGAAATCTATACAAAATGAATCAATATGCTCAAGGGATATAAAAAAATATTTTATAGATTGATGACAGGCACTTGTCCTTTAAAATGGTTGAACTGACATGTATGCAGTATGTTGGATAAAAATAAGCTTTAAGGAATAATAATTTGCTGGCATTCCCATTCGTCCATTTCTTTCCCTCCTGTGGCTTTGTCCAGTTGCAGTCCTGTCCTCTGCTGTTTTTGAGGGGGACCAGGGTCACTCGATGGTTGCTCGAACCTGAACTTTGCCTTGCTGACTTTCCCGCTGAATAGGGTTTTGGCTTTGGAGGCTGTTCTGGTACCTTCGGGGCAACCTCTTTCACTGCTCTCACAATCGCTAAGGTCCTTGCATCGGTTGCTGCATCTCTGGCTTCCTCTTGAATGTTTTTCGGGGTTTGGTGCCATGGTGCCTTACCTAGCCTGATGTGTTCACAGATGCCTTGTCTCTTGACTGCGGTTTTGTGACCAGTGCTCACAGCACGTTGCGGGAGTTTGCAGCTGTGGGGCAGGCGCTGTGGTGGATTCAGATGTCGGACTTTCGGGCACCCGGAGGTGGACCTCTTCTCGTTGGCATACGTGGCGCCGTTTCCCGACTGTGAGGTATTTGCGGTGAATGCGTTCTGGCAGGACTGGTCAAGATGGGGGTTCCTGTACAGTGCTTCCTCAGTCTAACGAACCCCGTTCTATCGAATTCCCGGAAGAACCGAGCAAATTGAATTCGGTACCAAATGTTCATTGGAACATACAAATGTTCCATTAACCTTTAAGTTGCGCAACACATCATATGATGGGTTGAGTGACTTGCTATAAATTGTGCATCCCATCATATGATGTATTGGAGTACTACGCAAGATTTAAACGGCCCGCGGATACACGGGGTTCACCTCACCTTCATCAGGGCTCTTGTAAACAGATGCTATTTTTTTTTTAAATCGTGGGCGAAATTCCCGGGTGTGAGGGCCCCAGTATTGAGTGAGCCACCAAGCCTGACGCACACAGCATGAGCTCACAGCACTGCTGTTCAGCTTGTGACCACAGCATCGCCTAAAAATGCCATGATATACATGTTCATGCTATTATATAGAGATGATATTATTACAGAAGACCTTGACTATGGTAAAAATGATCAGGATTCTGATAATAGCAGATTGTAATGTGTCTGATTAGTTCATCATTGTTTATGAATAACAAGTTTAGTGTGTTTTTGTTCCTAGTTGGTTCTGTAATCTGTTGATTGAGCGAGAATTTGTCACAGAATTTCAAAAGTTCTCTGACCTGTGGTTGGTTGTTTCCCGGGTTATTCCCTGCTATGATATTTGTGTTTGCCATTCTCCATCTTAGACTCGGTAAATTGAAATCTCCAAGGAAGATAATATTTGGAGCTGGGTTTGCTAGGTTATCAAGTATGTTCTCTGTTTTGTGCATCTGCTCTGTGAATTCTTCAACCATTGTATCTGGCGGTTTATATATTAGAATAATAATTTGGTTTAGTTTCTCTACCTTAATTCCAAGTACCTCTACCACCTCATTAGTTGAGTTTAGTAGTTCTGTGCATACCAGGTCCTCTTTAATATACAGACCTATGCAGGCGATGAGTCACAATAACGTGGCTAAAGTATGTTGACCAGACCACACACTAGAAGGTGAAGGGACGACGACGTTTCCGTCCGTCCTGGACCATTCTCAAGTCGATTGTGTGTCAAGTGTGTGTTGATTGTGTCAAGTCTACTCCTTCATTTGACCTAGTTTTTCTATCACATCTATATAAATTATAATTTGGAATCCAGATTTCACCATCCATGTAATCTTTTGTATGAGTTTCCGTGAATGCCCCAAATATTGAGTTTGACTCTAATAGGAGGTCAGTTATGAACTTAACTTTATTTCTTGAATTTGGCTTTATACCTTGAATGTTTGCAAATATGAATGATTGTCCATATTGTGTGTCAATTCTGGAAGGTTTTGGTAGTTCTCCCTCCTCTCTACCCTGACCCATGGTGTATTGTTGTGGCAATGGTTTGTCCAGTTTTGGAAGTGATACTGGGGAGTGTGGTAGTCTCTGTGTAGTTGGGGGGTGTAGTATGTGTGGGCTTGATGACGAACCGTAGTCCAGTCTTGGGCATTTCCCCCTCTCCATCCATAATCCTGCCACATTTCTGCCTGTCTGTTTCTCCCTCTGTTTCTGCCTGCCTCTAAAAAACTTTCAGGGGTATTATATTGGACTTCCTCACTTATATAGCGCTGTGTGCCTCTGACGTGGAAATCAGGGCAATGAAGATCATAGCATTTCCTCTCATTAACTGAGAGTTTGCATAGCTTAGGGTGAAAATATCTACACTCTGTATCAAAACGACATCTGCCTTTCCCTAACCAGTTTCGGCATTTCCGTGGGTGCATGAATGTGCATTCCGTGCCTCTGGGCCCATATCTGCACTGTCCTTTTGCATAATACCTGCAAATATTTTCATCTGTGATTGTATTCTTCTTGTTTGTACCCGTGCACGACTTGGCTACCTCTGTGTTTTTTGTTCCAACTTTCTCGTTTCTGCATTCATTCTCGGTATTGCCCTTATCTTTCTCCTTGTTGCTTTCGTCTTTCGCATTTGTGTTCTCATTCGTCTCATTTTGTCTCTCCTTATTCATATCACCAGTTTGCTCTACAATATTGCCTTCATTTTTGTGTACCTCGACACCATGTCATTCTACATTGCTACTTTGACTCTCTAAATTCTCAGTCCCTGGGTTGTGTTCAGAGTTCGTTGCTGTCTTTATATACTCTGCATATATTTCTGGTAGTTTTTGTGTGAATTGTAGCTTGTATACTTCAGGAATGTTATTCATTAGTTTGGTGATGTTTTCCCACATCTGTCTCACTATACACTTTCACACTATATACATTCACCATCAACACATTCAGAACACAGCGAGTGTGAGCTGTCACACCCAGCCAGCCCTCCCTCACTCCAACATCTTACTCGCCAACATTGCTCCTCCCACCATACTGTTATTGTTTTTATTACACTATTTACACATGTTATGTATACCTATCTACATGTTTTATTTACCAGAACTATGCAAGTAAGCCAGTATTGTGTCCAAACAGTACAGTGGCCACCATACGCTGCATGACAAATCACACAGCAGACAGCAGATGACGCTACGATTACGACGTCACCTCCCTCACCAAAATAGCTCCTCTCACCATACTCCTGTTGCTGTTATTACACTATATACACACACACACACACACACACACTGTATATTCCCATGTACATGGGTGTTCCCCATAGCGAACCACGAAGCTAGTATGGTGAGCAAAACAAGAGTGGCTGCCACACACCGTGAGGCTACCTCAATTCTCTCCCTTCCTCCCTCCCCTCACCCAAATTTTTCCTTCCTATGCACAATGCTAATTATAACCACAATCCTGGTCACTAATACCTGTAAATGAATAATTGACCATAAGTTTATTTTAAAAAGGAACCTAAGAAGTCGTTTGAAGATTCCTAGATAGACAAAATAATGCTGTGGTGCTGTGGCTAGTGCTGTGAACATCGTGAACAGCATTGAATCACTGATATTTGAACATTGTACCCAGTCATTATCACACTCAGGCTCTTCTATAATACTATCATGGTTAAATAATACAGGTTATATATATATTTTGACATTATTAGGCGATGTTGTGGTCACACGCTGAACAACGGTGGTGTGCTCCCATGCTGTGAGTGTAACCTTGGTTGCTCACTCACTACTGAGGCTCTCACACCCGGGAATGTGGACCACTTTCTTTTTTTAAAGATGGCGTCTGTTTACAAGAGCCCTGAGGAAGCTGATGTGAACCCCATGTAGCTGCGGGAGTTTTGAATGGAATGTGAAAAATACAAATACCCGGAGACACGTAGTGCACCTCAGACGTGAGCCTGCAGGCATGTTGCACAGTTAAAGGGTTAAGGTGCTCTCTGAAGTGTGTGTAAGAATGTCTGGAGAAGAGGCTACATGTGACCACCTCTCAGGGATAACCACAGTCTGCAGGGAACAAGGCATCACAGAAAAATTCAAACTAAAAGATATAATTATCATACTAATATTATTGTTATTCTATACAGGACAAGTTTTTGAAGCTCTTTACTTAACCAGGACTCTTTCGCTCGAGGGATGGAGCTGCGGGGAAAATGCACAGTATTTGCCGAGGGCTGTCATGGCCACCTGGCCAAACAGCTCTATACTAAGTTCAATTTACGCGAGAACTGTGAGCCTCAGTCTTATGGAATTGGACTTAAGGAATTATGGGAAGTTAAACCCGAAAACCACAAACCAGGAACAATTGAACACACAGTTGGATGGCCACTTGACAAGTAAGTAGAATATATTTTATCTTTTCAGTGCATTAACCTTGTATGCTCCTGAAAACTTGTAGAGAACTGAACACAAAGTAGTACATTTTGACAGGTCATGGATGTTACACACTATTTTTAGTTGTATATGTAGGGAAACCTTGTTTAAATACATTCATATTGTGTCCATAGTCGAGTCACTCACACGTGAAGAAATAGGTGTTACTGTATGTATCAAAGATTTTCTGGGAGAAGCCTTCTCTGATGGCTCTCAGAAGTTATCTTGCTAAAATTGTTTCCACTACTGAATGACATCAGTCATAGTAGTCCTTCCTGGCCTACTGGGGACCAGAACCAGACGCTGGCTTCCTCGCAGAGGCAGCGAGACCATTGCACTGTTATAATCACCCATACTGAGAAAGCATCCAGAAAGAAAGAGAAACAATACAGACAACGAACAGCAAGGTTTACAGAAAATGAAGCATTGAAACAGCCAAATCATTCTGCAAATGAATTATTCAAAACAAAAGGTTCTCTCAAAACTAGTTTGAAGCCCCCATCCTATCACCACCAGTGCAAATGGTTGCCAACAGGTGGCACCCCGGATGCTGCAGTCTTCTGCAGCATCTTCCCTGACTCCCTCCCAGCCTCTGCCTGCCTCCCTCCCTCCCAGCCTCTGCCTGCCTCCCTCCCTCCCAGCCTCTGCCTGTCTCCCTCCCTCCCAGCCTCTGCCTGCCTCCCTCCCTCCCAGCCTCTGCCTGCCTCCCTCCCTCCCAGCCTCTGCCTGCCTCCCTCCCTCCCAGCCTCTGCCTGCCTCCCTCCCTCCCAGCCTCTGCCTGCCTCCCTCCCTCCCAGCCTCTGCCTGCCTCCCTCCCTCCCAGCCTCTGCCTGCCTCCCTCCCTCCCAGCCTCTGCCTGCCTCCCTCCCTCCCAGCCTCTGCCTGCCTCCCTCCCTCCCAGCCTCTGCCTGCCTCCCTCCTTCCAGCCTCTGCCTGCCTCCCTCCCTCCCAGCCTCTGCCTGCCTCCCTCCCTCCCAGCCTCTGCCTGCCTCCCTCCCTCCCAGCCTCTGCCTGCCTCCCTCCATGGCTCCCTCCCAGCCTCTGCCTGCCTCCCTCCATGGCTCCCTCCCAGCCTCTGCCTGCCTCTCCCTCCCTCCCTGCCTGCCCATCCACCCACCAATCAGCCATCACTGACACAATGAGTGCATTTGGACCCGACATGATGCACGGATGTTCCTTGATTGTGCAGATATGTCCAACAAAGTCGCAGAATGAACACTCCAGCCTCTTGACAAATCAAAATATAGTGTTAAAATTAAAGTTGCAGTAATTTTAGTGTACAATAGTTTTCATAAACTGTATTGTAGTACATACTCAACATACAGCAGAACTACTCGACACAGTGTTAACGGCATAATACACTACAGTATGTATTTACTGTACAGCATTCACAACTCCATGAGACTTCAAGATGGACATAACTCCAACAATAAGGTAAATAACAAATGTAACACAGTATTTCTTAGTAGAGTAATAATATATAGGTACAGTATATAATATGATAATGCATTTTTATTGTCTACAAGTAAAAAAAAAGACACTGATGCAAATGCCTTCTGAAGGTCACCTCTTGCAACAAATCCAACACTCCAACTGGGGGATTGGTCCCATATAGTAAAAATATATAAAACAACCCCCACCAGGGGACTCGAACCCTAGCCAGCACAGATGCTTCACAACACCTGGCATAGCTGGTACACCTTTAACCCACTAAACCACTCAGACCCTTAAAAGAGATGGAAATTTTCGGGTATTTAACTACCCAAAACCACCACCTCCCAAGGGCACCAGAGTAAGTGAGAGGTCACTCACATTCTTTCATCAATCTCCTGTTAATATGGGAGAACACTGTGTCTATGCTTTTATGCACTAACTTGCTTAAACACACAAGTTTGCAGTTAAACCAACTTTAGACAACAACCCCCACCAGGGGACTCAAACCCTAGCCAGCACAGATAGATTCACAGTTTCTTGTAAGAGCTTGGACAGCGTGCTCTTTCTTCTTCCCGGTTTGTTGTGGCCCCTTCGGTTCAGGTTTGTTTCTCGAAGGCTCTTTTCCTGTTGGCATTTGCCTCTAGGAGTCGGGTCGGTGAGCTTCCTGCTCTCCTCCGGCACAGGGATTTCTGCTCCTTCGGTCGTGGTAATAGGTTTGTTAACACTTTGATGCTCTGGGCGCACATGAGCCACACTACCCCGGGTGGGTTTGGGCATTCTGCGGGAGCGCGCGGTAATTCTGAAAACTATAATCTTTTCAACTTTGTTACCTCAATTCTCATCCTAGGTTTTTCATTTTGGTATCAATGTGTTCGCAATAGAATTCTCTATAGGACTAAAGGCATATAAAGTCCAAACGATCGGTGTACCATCCACAACAAACAGAGAAAATGAGAGCATGTTACCTGGGAGCGTGGCTCAAGAGCAATAAAATGTTTACACTTCCTTCACTTTGGTCACCTCAATTCTCATCCTAGATCTTTCATTTTGGTATCATTGTGTTCGCAAAAGAATTCCCTACAGGAGTGTATGCAAATATATAGTTCAAAACCCTGGCGTCCCACCCACAGCAAACAGAGAACGTGACGGTGCGTTACCGCAGTGAGCACTAATAAATAGCAATGAAATGTGTACATTCTTTTCAACTTTGTTACCTCAATTCTGGTCCTAGGTCTTTCATTTTGGTATCAATGTATTCACAATGAAATTCCCTACAGATGTATATGCATATAATGTCCAAAACTGCGGCACCCCATCCCGAATCCACCGCCAATTTGCCGCCGGAAACGACGCAGCATTGCATCGTTTTCTGCGTCGGGAGCTGCGACGTCGCAGCTCCCCCCTTTCCCCTCCTGGGGAGGGGGGAGCTGCTCAGACAGTGGCGTGTGACGTCATGATCGTTTACTCGTTTCTTTTAGGGGTTTTATCCACTTGTTCGGCTTGTGGTAGCAATTTTCACCAGAATAGGGGTTTGTTTTGGGACGCTTACCTTTCTGGGTGCCTGACCCTGTTGATCGCAGACATAGAATGCTTCCAACCACACAGGGGTTTCTATAGGCCATTGCTCCCCTTACCTCTCTGAGGGGGCCAGGTTCTGGCTCGTGGTTCCCGGTAGGCCCATAGAACTCCATACACATGACTGATGCCAAAGTCTGACATTAACAGATCAGCCTGGATAAAAAGACAATTTTTTTTTTTAATTTGTGCTGTGCCCCAAGATAATGCTCCATGTGTAACACTTGCACAATGTAAGGGCTAAAGAAATATTGGTACAGTATTTAATTTTGTTTATCAAACTCAATTTTATAACTTGTAAAAAAAATGGATTTACATACAAAATCTGAATTTCTAGAAGAGTCGTCTTGCAACTGGCTAATTTGCAAAGTCAGAATATAATTTTAATTAATGATTGACATTCCATGTAGTATTTTAGAAATTCAATATTTTGTTAGTAGATAATACATTTGTAACGGAGCACTACATAATTTTCCCCTTTCAGAAATACATATGGAGGTTCATTTCTGTATCACTTGAAAGAGGAGCAGCCATTAATTACCCTTGGTTTTGTTATTGGACTGGATTATACAAATCCATACCTGAATCCATTCAAAGAGTTTCAAAGATTCAAGCATCATCCATCGATCGAACCTTTACTACGTGGCGGCACAAGGTTAGTACTTCATCTCTACATCTGGTATTTAATGAATAGCAGAATAAATGCTGGTTAGTGATGTCATCTTGTGGATTGGTACATTGTTGTTAAATAACATGTTAAGGATTATTGGCTTTGTATGTTGTGATTTAGAATATTGTACAGGGGAGCATTAGTAAGATATTTCAAAGTTATTTATTGTAAATAATATGTAATGTGTTAGTGACTCAGCAGCTGCCTGGTGCTTGAGGACCTGGTACCACCTCAGTAGCTGCCTAGTGCTTGAGGACCGGGTACCACCTCAGTAGCTGCCTGGTGCTTGAGGCTCTGGTACCACCTCAGCAGCTGCCTGGTGCTTGAGGACCTGGTACCACCTCAGTAGCTGCCTAGTCTGCTGTAATCTACCTCACTCCTCTATTGTCAACCCATGTCTGTTATTTTTTTTTTTTTTTTTTTTTTTTTAATCAACACTGTTTGTCAACCTATTGTATTTGTGCTGCTTTTTCAGTCATGTTCCCCCTTTTTTTTTATCTTTATTTGTATTTGTTCTCAACACCTTTTATTCTTTATGCTCAATTAGTATTAAGTTCTAGATATTAATGTTTTTCTTGCCCGAAACGCATTGCGTAATAGTGGCTTTAGGCATTGTATGTACTAGCTCTATCTATATATCAATCCATTAATGTAACATCACTTGTATGTATATACCTTACCTGAATAAACATCTGAATCTGATCTAGTGCTTGAGGACCGGGTACCACCTCAGTAGCTGCCTGGTGCTTGAGGCTCTGGTACCACCTCAGCAGCTGCCTGGTGCTTGAGGAGCTGGTACCACCTCAGTAGCTGCCTGGTGCTTGAGGATCTGGTACCACCTCAGTAGCTGCCTGGTGCTTGAGGATCTGGTACCACCTCAGTAGCTGCCTGGTGCTTGAGGATCTGGTACCACCTCAGCAGCTGCCTAGTGCTTGAGGAGCTGGTACCACCTCAGTAGCTGCCTGGTGCTTGAGGATCTGGTACCACCTCAGTGGCTGCCTGGTGCTTGAGGACCTGGTACCACCTCAGTAGCTGCCTGGTGCTTGAGGAGCTGGTACCACCTCAGCAGCTGCCTGGTGCTTGAGGACCTGGTACCACCTCAGTAGCTGCCTGGTGCTTGAGGATCTGGTACCACCTCAGTGGCTGCCTGGTGCTTGAGGACCTGGTACCACCTCAGTAGCTGCCTGGTGCTTGAGGATCTGGTACCACCTCAGTAGCTGCCTGGTGCTTGAGGATCTGGTACCACCTCAGCAGCTGCCTGGTGCTTGAGGCTCTAGTACCACTCACAACCTGAGAATGATCTGTTGGAACCATTATGCCAAACGTCTGGGAGTGACGTCTTGAGGTGTCAACGCCTGAAGCCGGAATGTTTTGTCTGAGTTTTCGTCAGGTGCAGAGGGCGGTCGACCGGAAGTAGGCGCCTCGTGTGTTTGTTACTTCATTAATATGAAGTTCTTTAATAGTCTTCACTATTTAATCATCAAAGACAGGATGGAGGAAGCAGGTTACCCTACTATGAAGGGTAATTATGTGACAATACATATAAAAAGCTGGCTTGCTGGCCACAAAATTATTCAGTACTCCTAGAATAAGTTGTATTAACATCACAAAGGGATTAGGAAGGGAATTTGATCTACCTTTATAAACCGTGGACTGGCTGCAAGACAGTCTTGTAAGCAAACACTAAACTTTGGGATCGATTCACAAGCAAAGGGCCCCTACAGGACTAAGTCCAAAGGAACGCTATCACTTATTCTTAAAAAGACTTTCTATGACAGGTGACTTGGAAAGACCATCCGAGATGGTCTTCCATCTAAAAGTTAAACATAGAAAGGAATTGATTGGTACAATAAACCTTGCAGAATAGGCTTGAAAAATATATTGACTTAAGGGTGTGTGAGTGAATGATAGTGCCTATCCTTAAGTACAGGTGGAAGATGGAATGTGTGTGTTAGGATTGAATAACAAAATAAAAATTAAAATGTGATCCAGAATTCTGTTATTGTAAAACTGAGAAATTGTTGAGAATGTACAGACATGATGCTGATAGTGGTAAAAGAAATGCATTGCAATGAATTTGAGATGTAGACAAATATGATGGGCAGACAGTGTGAAGAAGAAGGGATTGAATGTGAACAACACACTCTGGAAATGAAAACAAAGCCGAGTGGAAACACTTTGTAAAGAGGGAGTGAATGTTTCAAGTGATTTTGTCAATGAGCGAAGATCTCCTTTCACCTATTGTTATAAAGTGGTAAAGTGCTGTTGTGGATATTGTTATAAAGCAGTAAAGTGCTGTTGTGGATATTGTTATAAAGCAGTAAAGTGCTGTTGTGGATATTGTTATAAAGCAGTAAAGTGCTGTTGTGGATATTGTTATAAAGCAGTAAAGTGCTGTTGTGGATATTGTTATAAAGCAGTAAAGTGCTGTTGTGGATATTGTTATAAAGCGGTGAAGAGCTGTTGTGGATATTGTTATAAAGCAGTAAAGTGCTGTTGGGGATATTGTTATAAAGCAGTGAAGAGCTGTTGTGGATATTGTTATAAAGCAGTAAAGTGCTGTTGTGGATATTGTTATAAAGCAGTAAAGTGCTGTTGGGGATATTGTTATAAAGCAGTGAAGAGCTGTTGTGGATATTGTTATAAAGCAGTAAAGTGCTGTTGTGGATATTGTTATAAAGCAGTGAAGTGCTGTTGTGGATATTGTTATAAAGCAGTAAAGTGCTGTTGTGGATATTATTATAAAGCAGTAAAGTGCTGTTGTGGATATTGTTATAAAGCAGTGAAGAGCTGTTGTGGATATTGTTATAAAGCAGTAAAGTGCTGTTGTGGATATTGTTATAAAGCAGTAAAGTGCTGTTGTGGATATTATTATAAAGCAGTAAAGTGCTGTTGTGGATATTGTTATAAAGCAGTAAAGTGCTGTTGTGGATATTATTATAAAGCAGTAAAGTGCTGTTGGGGATATTTTTCTGGAATGTAATTCTGCTGATTCTCTATACAGTATTAAGAGGACAATAGAATCAAATATGCCAAAAATTAAAACTGGTTCGATTTCAGTCAAACTTTTTGACGAGTTGTATATGAAAAGGGTTTCATGTGGTCCAAGTCTCGGCATCGTAGCATAAATAGGAAGGGAGAAAAAAATATTGAATTATGTGTCAAAAATTTTCCAAAATGGTCAAAAACGATTATCAAACAAAAGTGTCAACTGAAATTATGTCTATGACTCTCAGCTATCACAATAGCATATATTAAAAAAATTATAATTAGTTTCATTAAAAAAATTAAGTTAAAAAAAATTGCTTATTTTTTTTTTTTCATTTTTTTTTATCGGACGATTTGCATGAAACTTATACACCTGACTGCATGTAAGCCTATCTGTAAGGTGTGCCAGTTTTGGAGGAAATTGGTTGATGTCAACCTCAATCACAGATGGCAGTACCTTAGACTTTATTTTTTGTATTTATTTTCAAGTAACATAAAAGTTCAAATTTCTCTTTTATTTTTTATTCAATTTACATGAAACTTACACATTATATGTAGAGTGTAAGTCTCTAAAATCTGATGTTAGCTTTTTTTTCCTAAGTTCATTTATTGATTTTATAATAGCAATAAACATGATATGTTTGCATAATTATTTGGGGGAACTTTGACGATTTGTATTAGGAAAACTAAAGACTTTTGGAAAATAACTAACAACAGATCCTTTATTATATGCTAATGTGTCAGAAAAGTGTCATAGAATGATTATATCTAAAAGGTGTGGTTGTAAATTCACACTTGAAAATGTGTAATATTCATTAAAAAAAAAAATCTCCCTTTCTGTTTAGGCTGCAGTACTGAAACTTGGAACAATTGCAGCCCTTTTCATATACAACTTGTCAGAAAAAATATTGGTTGACATTGAACAACTTTTAAAAAAGAATCTATTGCCCCCTTAAGCCATTTAACACTAAATATCATTAATGTCTTACAGTTTGTTGTTATTGGATAAAACAAATGCATCATCTTTCAGAATTTCTTACGGAGCCCGAGCACTGAACGAAGGTGGATTACAGTGTGTTCCCAAACTGACATTCCCAGGGGGTTGTCTTGTAGGGTGTTCACCAGGGTTCATGAATGTTCCAAAGATCAAGGGAACACACACAGCTATGAAGAGTGCCATGCTTGCTGCTGAAAGCATATTTGAATCACTTAATGATAAGGAAAATGTTAACACTTCTTGTAAGTACTCTATTAGTAACACATTTTTTGTAAGTACTGTACTCTATTGGTAACACTGATATTTTGAATACTTTTTAAACTTTACTCCCAAACTTCTTTTAGATTGAAAAGTTTTGTAATTTGAACATTAATACTAAGAGTAAACTTGTTCCAATAGCTATGTGAATGGTAAGAAGCATAGTGTTGAATGCAATAGAAAAGGTTGAGTTAACTTTGAGATCAGTAGCGTGGCACATTAATTGGAATGGGATCGCCAGTATTTTTACAAAGAGTTCTGTTCCATGGTGCATATTAGGATGTTTTAAATACAGCATTGCAAAATTTTTGCTTTTTGTGGTTGTAAACAGTATGGGTTCGAGTCACTTCTGGGGTGTGAGTTTTCAGTTGCATATAGTCCTGGGGACCATTCAGGCTTGTTCGCATTTGTGTTCCTCACGTGTGCCCCAAAGAATGAGGTGATTTGATAAAATACTATGCCCAAGATTACTATCTGGGTGCCGGCAGGGGGGAGGGGGGGTCAAATAGCTTCGGCTATCACCTCCTTATGTCCGGTCGTGATGGTCAAGTGGTCAGATTAAGGCGTCCTGTACATTCCAGTTGCGTTGCTCCTGGCAGTATGGGTTCGAGTCGCTTCTGGGATGTGAGTTTTTCAGTTGCATATAGTCCTGGGGATCATTCAGGCTTGTTCGCATAAATATATATATATATATATGTATGTATGTATGTATGTGTTGTTGAATATGACCAAGAGGGTAAGATTAATGATTCTAACACGAATCTTCTCAATATTCGTTATGTTTTATTTCACTGTTGCGGGAAGTTGAAAAATGAACTCTCCAAATTTCATTTTCACAATTTATTATGGTCTGATTTATCTGATTATCTCGGATGCCCTGAGTCTGCCCCGCTTTGATTATAAGGACCCGGACTTGGGAGCATTAGTTGCTTCAGCTTTGGTTTAGTCTGTGCTCCCTCATCCTTCCCCTGCTGCTGTTTGTCCTGCTCTTTTCCCCCTTCTGCTGCCGGCCCCCAAATGTCTGAGGGTTTTGGAGTCGGGGCAGAGTTTAGATGGTGGTGAGACTCGGACTGTTTCGGGGGCTACCCCATCCAATTTGGCGATGGAGGCATTCGAGCCTTTTCCTCCAGCCGGGGCTTCAGGGTCTGACCAGTGAACCCCCCCCTTTTCCCAGCTTTTTCGGTTGACTCTGTCTTTTCTTTAGGGGCAGAGGGTTTGAAGGACGGCTCTGCCCTGGGTCCTGGTATGGAGGATCCCTGGGCTGAGATAGAGCCGACTTGGGGTGCTTGGGCCCTGTTTGACACCGCTTGGTGTCACTCGTTCTTCCTAAGGATATTGGCCAGGTGCAGCTTCACGTGCAGGTTCCTGTACTTTCGGCATCCCCGGTAGCTAAGTATTTGTGTGCCCGGGGACATTTGACTTCGGTTTTGCTATTCTTTTCTCTACTCGAGTTGTCTTCGGACATGCTTGACGAGGATGTGGAGGTGTTGGGTACTGGGCCTGTGGCCGGTGCTCTTGTCTCTGCGGCTCAGGTGTTGGATGTGTTGTTGAAGTTGTTTGTGCCGATTCGGAAGGAGGCGGTGTCTCTGTTCTTTGCTTTTCGCCTCGTGTGCCGGAAGGCTGTGCTTGCCCATTCTCTGGAATTCATGTGGGCCCTGGCTCACCTCTTTGTTTGTTGCTGTTTACATATTCTGTGGTTGTGCAGTATCTGCAGGTGGTTTCTACTAGCTGTCACCCTATGTCAGACTTGTTGGTTTTCCAGGGTGGCCGTGGGGATCATTCCCAAAGGGTCGTGCCAGGGTTCGGGGTTTTGTTGGTCATGGTGGGCTAGTGGTGCCAGTTTTGGAACCAACGGCATCTGGTCGGCATGGTGAGCAGTCTGCGCATCGGTTGGGTTCTCGTAAGGGGCGTCGACCCTTTCGGGGTCATCCCGTTTACAGGGCGATGGGGGGAGGGGGGAGGCTCCCTCTGCTTGCTCATGCCTAGTTCCACAATTTGTGGGCATTTCATGTCATTTCCGCCATCCTGCAGTGGTGTTGGGTGGCTCCTCCTTCGGGGGGGTTCGGGGTTCGCGGGGCAGGCCTCTTTTCCTGTGCTCTGTCAGGTTATCTTGGAGTGGGTTTGCTTGAGCATGGTTGAGAAGACTTCGTCCCTCAGGTGGGTTTCCCACCTATTTCCGGTCCTGAAATGGGACTGTGCAGAGCTGAGATTCATTCTGGACTTGCCCCATCTGAACTCTTGGGTCTTTTGCTCCTCTTTTTGGATGACCACTCTGTCCAGGTCTGGCTTCTTTTGGAGCTGGATGATTGGATGGTGTCTCTAGACCTCCAGGTGGTGTATTGGCATGTCCTGATTCATCCAGGGGGTTCAGGGACTGGCTTGGGTTTTGTCATGAGGCGAGCTTTCACTGCCTTCCATTCAGCTTGAATCTGGCACCTTGTGTTTTAACATGCCTTACCTGGGTCATGGTGACCCGTTTGCATCTGCTAGGTGTTTGGGTTCTGGCCTACTTCGACATCTGTCTGGTGTGGACTCCCAGTCAGTCCATGTGTCTGCTTGCTGGGAGTTTGTTTTTTCCCAGCTCACCAGGTTCGGGTTCTTGGTGAACTGGAGGAAGTTCCATCTGGTTCCCTCTCAGGTTCAGATTTGGCTAGGTCTTGTGTGGAACACTGAGACTGCTTCCTTGTCTCTCCCTCTCCAGCAACGTTGCTTCGGCTACAGTCTTGCCTTCTGCTGTTTCTTGGGGGCTCCCGGGTCACTCATCGGTTGCTCGAGCAGCTGTGTGGGAATCTGAACTTATCTTGCTGGTTTACCCGCCGGGTCGGGTCTGTCTTCAGCGACGGTTATGGTTCCTTCGGGGATGTCCCTTCCGCCATTCTTGCGATCGTTGGGTTAGGCCTCCGGGAGTATTATGTTGACTTCTGTTTTGCCGGCTTCCTCTTCCTTTCAGGTTTTTCATGGTTCAGTGCCATGGCGCCTACTCGAGCCCTCACTCGATGTGTTCATGGATGCATTGTCTCTTTGCTGGGGTTTTGTGACCAGTGTTCACCAGGCTGGCCAGGGTCGGTGGGGGTCTGTCTTTCCATCAGGCTCACAGCACGGTGCGGGAGTTCACAGTGGTGGTGGTGTCGCTTCGGAGGATTCGTGTCGTTTGCGGATCGACGTTCCGGCTCCATTCAGATTGCGCCCTTATGGTTCATTGCTGAACTGAGGGAGGTTTGATGAGGTCCTTGGCTCTTTGGGGCTGGTCGTTTTGGGTGACTCGTCTGCTGAGTTTTCGGGATTTAGCTCTCCTGGCGGTTCACATCAAGGGGTTTCCCACATCCTGGCGGATGTCCTGTCCTGGTTCATTCCCGTTTCCACGGAATGGATGGTCAACACAGACTTGTTCAGTTGGCTCTGCTGGATGTACAGGCGCCCAGAAGTGGACCTCTTTTTCCGTCTGCGTGGTCAAGGCGTCTTCCGGTATGTGTGGCACCCCTCCCCGACTGCGAGGCCGACAAGGTCTATGCTTTTCGGCAGGACTGATCGAGGTGGGGTTACCTATACCTCTTCCCGCCGGTTCACCTGTTGCTTCGGGTTCTGGCTTAGTTGGAGACTTACCAGGGGAGAGTTGTCCTGTTGGCCCCTTGGTGGCCGTCCCAGCCTTGGTTACTGGCACTGCTTGCTCTGTGTCCGAACCTTGCGACTTTTCTGCAGCTCTGCCTCATTCAGCAGATTGGTTTGGTCCAGTATGTGGCTAGTTCGATCTTCTCTTATGATCTTCACGTCTGGTCTGCCATGGATTTATCACCATTTGTATGGTGATCAGGTGGCTTCATTGATGATGTCCCACCTGCGTGTTCCTTCTCAGTGGCAGTATGAAGTCTCCTGGCAGTTTCGTCACTTTTTGTCTCTGTCACTTTGTCAAGCAGGAGCTGCTTCTGCTTGCATTCGGGGTGGATGTTACTTCTGCTCTGTTTCACAAGCTGTCTCGTGCATTGTTTCACCTCCAGCCTGCTCATGTTCCGCCTGAGCCATCCTAGTCGTTGGACCGGATGCTCTCTTTACTCTTCGTGATTGTTTTGATAAAGCTGTTGTTTTTTTTTGCATTGGCCTCTGGAGGTCGGATCAGGGAGCTTCATGTTCTCCTCCGGCGCAGAGGTTTCTGCTCTTTCGGTCCTGGTGGTAGGTTTGTTTGTTTGCAGCCGTCTCCTTTTCTGGAGAAGAACGAGACGGCAGCTTTCCTGAGGGGTCCTTGGGTGGTTGATGCTTGATTGGTTCGGTTGAGGGTGCATCGTGTGTTGTGTCCAGTTGCAGCTCTACATCATTATTTGTGCGCCACGGCCTTTGGGACCATGGACGCGCTTTGGGTTGACCCGGTTTCCCTTCTTCCCTGTTCCAGGGCTCGGACCTCCCAGTTCGTCTGCAGGGTTTTTAGGTCTAGCCAGCCTGCGGTCTATCCTCGTGCCCATTACGTTTGCAGATTTGCTGCTTTAGGTAATATGTCTTGGGTTGACATTCGGGCGCGAGGATTTTGGAGGTCGAGCAGGGTCCTGGCTACCCATTACCTCGTTAATGTTCCTGGCCCTAGTTGGGCGTACGTCGCTTTGGATTGCAGATTGCAGCCAGTTGTCTTGACTTCAAGTTGAGGTGCGAGTGGTGGCCACCTCCTTGGTAAGTCCCTCTTTTACTTTTATGTGGTTAGGTAGCTCTGGGGAGCCAGAGGGGCTCTCCACAGAAAACCACCATTGAATGTAATGAAGCGCTATTTTCTGGGCGAGTCCCAGAGGCTAGCCAGCAACCCTTGCTCCCTCTGGTCGGCAGTTTCGCGTTTTTGACATTCAGTCTCAGAACTGAATTTGGATAGTTAGTGCGACACTCTGGAGCTGAGGAGGGGGGGGGAGCTACGCAGACAGGTGGTGCGGCGGCGGCAAGTGTGACGTCATGGTGGTTTGCCTGTTTTCAGATTGGGGAGTTCTGCTTAGCAGTTCAGCTTTTGGTAGCAATGTTTCACCAGTTGTGGTCTGTTTTGGGACGCCCTACCTTTCTGGGTGTGTAACCCAGTTGATGGTAGACATAAATGCTTCCAACCACAGGGGGGGGGTTCTATAAACCATTGCTCCTTGTGCCTCTCTGAGGGGGCTCGTGGTCCCCAGTAGACATTAGAACTCCATTCGAAGGACTGTTGCCATGGTCTAATACATGCATATCAAACAAATCTCCAGGGCCAGACGAAGTGTTTTCCAGGGTGCTTAAAGAATTCAAAGAGGAGTGTTGCGAGCCGTTGGCTGCCATATTTAATAAATCATTAGTCAGGCACAGTGCCAAAGTCATGGAAGATTGCTAATGTGGTACTAATTTTCAAGAAAGGAGATAGATCACTTGCGTCAAACTATCGGCCAATTAGCTTAATGTCTATTGTGGGAAAGTTGCTTGAATCGATAATTGCAAATACTATTCGTCTTTATCTTGAAAACATAGATTAATAATTGATTCATAACATGGTTTTACTAATGGCTGTTCATGTTTGTGATGTGTACCTTGATTTTAGCAAAGCTTTTGATACAGTGCCACGTGAAAGATTGATTAAAAAGATAGAGGCTCATTGTATTGGGGGGCGGGGTGCTATATTAAGTTGGATTAGGGCATGGCTATACCAAAGGAAACAAAGAATTAGTATAAATGGGGTTAAGTCAGGGTGGGAAAATGTTGTATAAATGATTTAGATTCAGGTTTGAGCAGCAATATTTGCAAATTTGCTAATGATACAAAAATCGAGAGGAAAAGAAGCACGGAAAAAGACTCGCTATCACTTCAAGACAATCTAAATAGGGTTTTGAAATGGTCAAAACATTGGCAGATGCAGTTTAATGGTGTGTGTGTAGCGATATCTCTTAGTGCCTGAACTATCAGCTTAGTTGTACAGTTGTGGTGAACAAAACATGGAGATACTTATATATAATATGTGTATACAGTGTAATAACAGCAAAAACTATTCGTTTATTGTTTTATGAACATAATAATTGAATCACTAATATGAACACCATAATTTTGAGTATAGCGATGATTCACACATTTTATTATATAAATCTATCACACTACACACTATTGAATAATATTACTGCAAAAAACTAAGAAAAATCAATCAGAGACATTGAAATAATCAGGTAATAATATCTTTGTGGCAACTCCCACCTGACATCTCGGGTGACGCTGACTGCCTCTGACGACCGCTCTGTCAACACCCGCATTTTGCCAGACTTCCTCGGCTTATTGCGCCCAAAATATGTCACCTACGATTTTTTTTTATTTTTCCTGTGCTCAGGGAATACAAATTAACATTTTTAGAAGACGAAAACAAATTTTAGATTTTTTTTTCTTGCGCACAGAGGTGTAAATCTCCTCGGGACCTCTTAGCAGCTTAACACTTTGGCGTACCCCGCGCGCCACCCCTCAACTGTGCGATTTGGGTCCCAGGGTTTCATGGGAGCGTGCGTAAATTCTGAAAAGTGTATACTCTCTTCAACTTTGTCACCTTAATTCTCGTCCTACGAGATTAAATTTGGTATCATTGTGTTCGCAATAGAATTCTCTAGAGCACTAAATGCATATAAACTCCAAAAGCCCGGCTAATTACCCGCAGCAAACAGAGAAAGTGCGAACGAGTTACCCAGGAGCGCACAAACGCGATAAAATGTTTACACTATTTTCACTCTGGTCACCTCAATTTTCGTCCTAGGTCTTTCATTTGTGTCTCAATGGGTTTGCAATAGAATTTTCTAGAGGAACATTAGCATATAAAATAAAAAACCTGGTCACGCTCCAACCGCCGACGAGTTGAAGACGGGCCACGCGTTAGCCGCGAGTGAGCACTCAGACGCCTTCCAGCTACACTCCCAATTCCCGCCCTTTTCAAGCCTTTCTTTCGCAATTTTCTTCCTGGAAGGGCCTTGTTCATGATCACTATCCATCGTGGAGTAAGCGTAGATAGTTTCTAAAGCCGCAGTAAGAAATATAGCCACGGAAAATAGCCGAAATGTTCACACGTTTGAGATGCGAGGGGAGGCGACACCGGTCACAACAGTGGAGCGAAAACAATGGGCCGACGGCGTGTGCCGAGTCGCCTGTGGGCCACAAGGCACAACAAAGAAAATGGGAAGACATCGGTGCGCATTTTAAAACCAGTCCCCAAAAAATTGGATAAAAACCTGAGTTTTGGTGATTATTTATAGTGGATGATGCAATGCTGCGTCATGCCTGTCATTACCGACAGTAAACGGATGACGCAATGCTGTGTCATGCCCGTCATTACCGACAGTAAACGGATGACGCAATGCTGCGTCATGCCTTGGCGAAAGTGTTAAGGGTTAAGCTTTGTCAATCTTTCTTCATATGAAAGGTTTCTAATTTGGGGGATTATCTTTGTCATCCTAGGGTGGACGCATTCTAGTGAATTTATATCCATTCTATAGTATGGCGACCAAAACTGAACTGCATAATCTAAATGGGGTCTAACCAGAGCAAGATATAGCTAAAGAACACCACCAAGTTTCTTATTACTAACACTATGATTAATAAATCTCAGTGTCCTTTTTGCCTTATTACAAACATTTATGCATTGATATTTTGGTTTTAAATTCTTACTAATCGTAACTCCCAGATCCCTTTCGCAATCCGACTTTGCAATATCAACACCATCTAGCTCGTATCTTGTAACTCCATCATCATTACCTAGCCTCAATAAATGCTAAATAATATATCATTTATTAATCTATAATTTCAAGACGAATGAAAGACTGTCATCAAGGTATGAAGACGAATGGTGTGTGCAATTATCAATTTAAGCAACTTTCCCACAATAGACATTAAGCTAATTGGCCGATAATTTGATGCAAGTGATCCATCTCCTTTCTTGAAAATTGGTACCACATTAGCAACTTTTCACGACTCTGGGACTTTGTCTGTCTAATGATTTATTAAATATGGTATTTGTCCATGAAAGGGACTACATTGTGAAAGCAGTTTATAAAAGATTACCAAAGGCATCTGATACAGGTCATAGTCATTAGACAACATGATGACCAAACCACACGTTAGAAAATGGAGAAACGATGATATTTCAGTCCGTCCTGGACCATTATCAAGTCGTGTGATATTATCATTATCAAGTCATCACACAACTTGATAAGGATCCACGACCGAAACGTCATCGTTTCTCCATTTTCTGATGTGTGGTTTGGTCATCATATCTTTAGCTATGTAATTGTGAGTCATCTGCTCATTAGACAATAGTAATTATACAGTAAAATCAAAATATTCTGTGGTGATAAGATGTAGTATTTATGCTTATTTACCCCTTCTCACCAGGTATTGAACCAGTCACTTATGAGGAAAAAATTAGGGAATCTTGGGTATGGAAAGAACTTTATGCTTCTCGTAATATCCGTCCATCTTTCCACAACCCTCTTGGTCTGTTTGGTGGCCTCCTCTACACTGGCCTCTTCTACATCATAGGACGAGGAAAGGAACCTTGGACACTGAAACATGGAGGTTAGCTTTGATAGTATTAAGAGCTACTGTTGAAGATTTTATATAGATATAAAATAATAATTTTTATAAAGAAAAAATCCAGCGTTGAATGAAATGAAACTATTCTTTCTTGTGGGTCGCATTGGTGGCTCCCCGAGCTAGATGCCCGATTAACACCAAGCCTAAAGCATCCCACCAGGAGCGTTTGAGTCATGAGTCACTAGAGACCAAGGACCAGAATTGGCCCCAAGGAAGTGTTGGGTTACTAGATCAACCTATCAAGAAGAAAACCAGAAGGGTAGAACGCCCTAAAACATGTAACTGGAAGATAAACATTGCCAACCTTGACTCAAACTATGTACATATTTGCTATCCAGTTCCCATCTTCTAGTTACATTCATCCACCTCCAGATGGCAGTCTGAGCAACCAGGGACTCCAGCTGGCTGCCCACTTCAGAAATGCACCACCTAAGTGTCTCCTTGAGAACCCAGGAAAGGAGATAAGGGCAGGAATGCAGAGCCATTGAAGGACCTGCCAGAAAGGCATTTAATTGCATTCAACTCACGATTTCTGGAAGGGTTTTCCTTGGTTGCTTCTTGAGGCATCTCACCACGGGCACAATGAAAATGGGTCTTGCCCAAGGAAGAGGGAAGAAGCATCCCAGAACCTAATAGGGAATGGCAGTAGAACACCTGACCCAATACCTTGCATGTCTAGCATGGACATAGAACATGCACCAAGTACCATGCCGCGACCACCTGGTTAGTACACCTGAATCTCAGCCAGCCTTTAGCTTGTGAACGTCATGGACCTGTGGATTGACTGCAAGTTGGCTGAACTTAACCACCTGGTGGACAAGCTGAGACAATTGGCCTAGGAACAAGAAACTAAGGACACTGGATTGACAAATAGTTTCACTCAGGGCAAGAAATTAAAAGTAAACCAACTGCAACTGGACAAAGTAGATGATGCACTTCTGGCTGAACAAAGACTGAATTAACCAACGGACCCCTTCAGAATCTCGCCATCTCCTTCTAAACAAAGAAGGAAGAGATGCCCACAGACAAAGAAAATGATCCAACACACAGAGGTTTGTGCCTCGGAGAGGCTGCGGGATCCAGTAAGTTCAGTAGAACTTCGGTTTCAACTCTTTTACCCTGTCTTAGTTCAGTTGATTAAGGCAGTGTCTGGGATGCTCCCGGACGCAGGTTTGAATCCTCGTCACGGACCTTGTGGATCTGTTCAAAATGATCCAAGACCAAAAGACCAAAGTCCTTGCTTGTGAGGGAGAGCATGAAGCTCCCCAACCCTACACCCAGAAGTGAGTCAAAAAATTCTTGAACCTAAAAAGAAAGAGGGAAACAAGAGCAGGAAAGCTCAGGTGTAGACTATGCAGGCCAGGTGATAGAAAGACACAAGAGAACTTTAGAAATGGAGACCAAATATCACTGCCAAAACACATTGGAATTTCTGCCAGAGTGACCCCCCAGACCTAAACACAGGAATGCCCGATGAGGGAAATGGCGACAGAAGCAGTTAAAGGGCAAATGAAATTTAAAGCAGACTGTCCAATTGGTTTTGAAAAGGGCAATTCTAGAGAAATCCTGACATCGCTAAGAGCAAACCCTGCCCAGCGGGTAAACCTTAGTGATGTGTTGGTTTTTCTGGGGTCTCCGTTTTTGCCGTCAGTGGGACCATCCATTTCAAATCCCGTTTGCCCTTGAGCTTCTTCTGTTGCCTCTTCCTTCCTTGGGCTTTCCACTGCTCGGTTCCGTGGTGCCTTCCACACCTCTCCTTGAGCTGCTGTTAGGAAACCTGAACACACATTGCCACAAGACAGATGCAAGAAGCCAAGTGAAGCTGGAGCACTGGAGGCAGAGACAGGGATGCCAAACAGAAACCTGTAATGTAGCCAATGGGGACTTTCCTCAGTTAACCACAAACTTAAACCTCACTAACTGGGAAAGAACTAGATTCTAGGCTTGCAGACAAGCAGACTGGTTGGTAGCTCAAACTAGCCAGTCATCGAGGTAGGCCAAGTTGTGGATCCTCAACAAACGAAGATGAGAGACCATGATTCATTTCAAGCTAGCAAAGGCCCTGGGTGACAAGTTTAGCTTAAAAGAAAGAACCTTGAAGTAGTAACTGAGGTACCCCACACAAAACCCAAACCAGTCCCCGAGATGAATAAAAACATGCCAGTGAGAGTCTTGAAGGTCTAGGGACATCTTTCAGTCACTAGCCTGTGAAGTTCGGTGAGCCTCGCTGATGAGAATGGTCGTGGGGAAGGTCAAACAATGAATGAAACTGTTCAGCCCTGAGAAGTCGAGAATGAACTGAAGGTCCAGAATGAACTGAAGTCCCATTTGAGAATCAGGAACAGACTAGACATCCAACACAGTAAGGAAGTTACATTGACCACCCCAGCATCCACCTGATCCACAATGACCCTGTTGAGCAGGGAAGTAGACAGCTGAGGCAGGACCCACAATGCCATAGGTGGGGGAGGGTGGAGTTCAAGACTGCCCCCTGAGCTTCATGAGTCCATGCCTGGTTAAAGGTGCTCAACTGTACCCTCACCATGCTGTCAAAGGGCAAAGGGATGAAGTACAGAAAGGGCTGCTGCTAGTACTGTACCACAGTGAGCAGTCTACTTTCAGAGTAGCAGGACCCCCAAAACCTAGAGCCACAGAACCTCTAACCTGACCATGAGACAGTGATGCCCAAACCCCCTGAAGGCTTCTAACCCACAGCAGGGGCAGAACCTTGCTGCAAGAAGACATGACTGAAAGGCTGAAAATCTGCAACCACAGCTGAGGTTGCCGAGGTCAAAACCGAGGCAAACTACTCCTCCAGAAATAGTAGGGAGAAAAGAAGGCTGACGAGAAAGAAAGGGGAAATCACAGCCTCCCAGTATGCCATATAAACTGAAAAGTCATCATTTCCTCCCAAAGGAGAGAGGCAAACAACTTGAGCATCCCCACACTCACCGTAGGCAACAGGGCATCTACACCCAACACAGAAACCAAAAGTTTCAGGCCACCATGAAGCTGAACAGAAAACTGCTACTGAACAAGCCCGAGACAGAAAACAGAAGCCAGCAAGAGGGGCACCTTGTGGTCCTTCTAGATCTGTGTAACAGTGTAAGTACCGTATACACACATGTAGGTACCGAGTGTCCACATTATGGGGCAGGACAGGTAGAATTTGGGAAGAGTTGAGTGCTTTGAGACGACCTGCCCAGAAGCACCTGGAATGCTGCCCCCCTACATCATGCCACTCGAACATCTGTGTATGGCAGAAATTACACCAAGCCTGGAAAACAAAAAGGAAAGGACCTCATACCTTAACACTGAAGAAGAGAGACCCTATACTCAAAAGAAGTGAGTTCCATCGAGGTCCTGATCCTGTAACAGGAACTCAAACAAGTCCACCCGAGTGGCAGCTTGAGAATGACAAGAGGTGCAAAAAACCTGTGTTGAATGTAATGAAACACCTCTTCCTAGTAGAGCCCTGGTGGCTTCCTGAAGCAATCTCGCTAAGATAGTTCCTAGTCATTATATCACATTAGTCACTGGAGTTGTTTGACCTACTGGGGACCAGAGCCAGACCTGGTCCCCTTAAGAGGTAGAGAGAGCAAGTGACATTCTACCACCCCACTGGGAAAGCATCCAGAAAGTCAGTGAAGCACTACAGAGTTTCACTGCAAGGTTTGCAAAATAAGCCTCAAAACAGCCAAACAATTTAAAACAATGATCAAAACATTCAAAACTTAAGGCGAACTCGTTAGTACTGATAATTAACACCAGGTGGCCTGAAGCCCCTGCCTTCTCCCAACCCACCCAGGTCAGTTCTGGAGTAGAGGAACTAAACACCAATGAACCGACTCAAATGGTAGGGAGGGAAGGTGTTGGGGAGCCGCCAGGGCTCCAGAAAGAGGTATTTCATTACATTCAATGTTGGTTTTCTGGGAAAGCATCCTTGGTGGCTCCCTGAGGCTAACTAATCACAAAGAAGCTAAATTACAGGATTTACCAGAGATGAGAGACTATAGGTGTTAAGGTGAAGGAGAAGGCCAGCCTTCATGGCTTTCTCCTTCTCCCAAAGCAATATTAGAGTGAAAAGAGGCTGGGATATTGACTAAATACTTCCCATAATAGGGCCACCATGGCCCTATTATGGTCCACCAGGTATTAGACCACCAAAACCCCCAAGCCTGAATATTGGCTCAAGACAAGTTGGAGGAAACACATATCTTCAAAAAAAAAACTGGATAGTTTTCTTCAGAAGTGCCAGACCAACCAGGCTGAGATGGATATGTGGGCCTGCGGGCCACTCCAAGCAACAGCCTGGTGGACCAAGCTCTCACAAGTCAAGCCTGGCCCTGGGCTGGGCTTGGGGAGTAGAAGAACTTCCAGAACCCCATCCAGGTACAATCCAGGTCCAGGTACGCCAAGAGCGTTGTATTTGTGAACATCATGAGCCAAGGAATAAACATCATGAGCCAAGGAATAAACATCATGAGCGTGGAGTAGACTGCACGCTGGCTAGACTTACTAACACTGGACAACCTGGAATGCAAGCCTTGGAACAAGAAACCAAGAAAATAGGATTAACCCAGTAAGTGTCAAGCGAGGCAGAACCAATGGAACACAGGTAGCAGCAAAGAGCTGTTACTGGACACAACAAATGATACACACCCAGCTGAAACAACCAACATTCAAGAAGTGCCGGACCAACCGAGCTGTGGTGGATATGTGGGCCTGCAGGCCACTCCAAGCAGCAGCTTACTGGACCAAGCTCTCACAAGTCAAGCCTGGCCTCGGGCTGGGCTTGGGGAGTAGAAGAACTCCCAGAACCCCATCAAGCAGGTAAGATACGCTGGCGGGCCGACCCACTAATAGAGGCGGATGCACAGAAAAACACCCAAGTTCAGACACTGGGTTTAGAACCACTGGAAATCAAGGCTGAGTTGGCAACTAAGGAGAATGACACTAGTCTTGACAGGACCCAGAGCAACAACTGAACTTGGAAAAAGTTATATAAACCCACATCACAACCAGTCCACATAGGATGCTACATAGGATAAAAAGTGCCGGTTACATGCAGATGTGAAGAGATCCACCTCAGGAAGTCAGAATGTCTTGCAGACCCAGTGGCAGAACGCATCATCGATGGTGCACTTCATAGTGGTAGGAGGAAATAGAGACAACCCATCTGCAAGAACATGGGACACACCACTGACATGATCCATGCAGAGAACCAAACCCCAAGAATCCTAAAGTGGAAGGTTATCTTCATTGGAGCGTTTGGGCAACACTCCCATTAGGAGGCTTACTCGCTTGGGGTGGTCCTAGCTCTAAAGGTAAGTCGGTGGTCTGGGACTGACTGTTTTTTCTCGGGTTGGGAGTGTTTGTTGGCTGGTGGGCACATTGTCGTCTGCATGACCAGTTAGTTAACACGAGGCATGCCGACGTTTATCCCAGGCTGCTCATTCTCCATAGTTTAGGCTTGGGTCCTTTGTTTTTGTTTTTCATAGGCATTTTGCCTGTTTTTGCTTGCGGGTTCTGCCTTTCACCTTATTAGCACTTTGGCGTACCCCGCGCGCCACCCCTCAACTGTGCGATTTGGGCCCCAGGGTTTCACAGGAGCGCGCAAAAATTCTGAAAAGTGTATACTCTCCAACTTTGTCACCTTAATTCTCGTCCTACGAGATTAAATTTGGTATCATTGTGTTTGCAATAGAATTCTCTACAGCACTAAATGCATATAAACTCCAAAACCCCGGCTAATTACCCGCAGCAAACAGAGAAAGTGCGAACGAGTTACCCAGGAGCACGCAAACGCGATAAAATGTTTACACTATTTTCACTCTGGTCACCTCAATTTTCGTCCTAGGTCTTTCATTTTGGTCTCAATGGGTTCGCAATAGAATTCTCTAGAGGAACATTAGCATATAAAATAAAAAACCTGGCCACGCTCCAACCGCCGACGAGTTGAAGACGGGCCACGCGTTAGCCGTGAGTGAGCGCTCAGACGCCTTCCAGCTACACTCCCAATTCCCGCCCTTTTCAAGCCTTTCTTTCGCAATTTTCTTCCTGGAAGGGCCTTGTTCATGATCACTATCCATCGTGGAGTAAGCGTAGATAGTTTCTAAAGTCACAGTAAGAAATATAGCCACGGAAAATAGCCAAAATGTTCACACGTTTGAGATGTGAGGGGAGGCGACACCGGTCACAACAATGGAGCGAAAACAATGAGCCGACGGCGTGTGCCGAGCCGCCTGCGGGCCACGAGGCGCAACAAAGAAAATGGGAAGACATCGGCGCGCATTTTAAAACCAGTCCCCAAAAAATTGGATAAAAACCTGAGTTTTCGCGATTATTTAAAGTGGATGACGCAATGCTGCGTCATGCCCGGGCGAAAGTGTTAAGGATTAAGGGTTTGGGTTCTGGCCTACCTCGACGACTGGCTGGTGTGGGCTCCCAGCCAGTCCTCGTGACTGCTTGCCAGGGATGTGGTTGTTTCCCAGCTCACCAGGTTCAGGTTCCTGGTGAACTGGAGGAAGTCCCATCTGGTTCCCTCTCAGGTTCGGTCTTGGCTGGGTCTTGTGTGGGACTCTCAGACCGCTTCCTTGTCTCTTCCTCCGGAGGCTCTGTTGTGGCTGCGGTCTCGCCTTCGCCTGTTTCTGGGGTACTCCCGGGTCACGTGATGGTTGGTCGAGGGTTTGTGCGGGAGTCTGAATTTTGCCATGATGCTCTACTACCGGGCCGGGTTTGGCTTCATCGACTGTTCTGGTTCCTTCAGGGACGTCCCTTCCGCCTCTCTCTTACGATCACTGGGTTCGGCCTCCGGGTGCCTTACATCGGCTGCTGTGTCTCTGGCTTCCTCTTCGTTTTTTTGGGGGTCAAGTGCCTTGGCACCTACTCGAGCCCTTGCTTGATGTGTTCACTGATGCGTCATCTCATGGCTGGGGCTTTGTGACCAGTGCTCACCAGGCCGGCCAGGGACCGTGGGGTACATCCTTTCATCGGGCCCACAGCATGGTGCAGGAGTGCAAGCGGCTGTTGAGTCACTTGCAGATTGAAGATCCGGCTCCATTCGGACTGCTCCCTGGAGGTTCATTGCCTGAACCTCATTAATCATTAATGCTTGGGTGGTAAGGCCGTGGGTGCATCATTTGTTGTGTCCGGTTTTGGCTCGTTGCTGTTGCCTGCACACTTCGGCTTCAATGGCTGCGGATGCGCTTTGAGTTGATCCGATTTCCCTCGTTCCCTGTTCCAGGGCTTGTGTCTTCCAAGTCGTCCGCAGGATTATTAAGTCTCCAGCCTACAGTCTATCCTCGTTCGTGCCCATGCCATTAGGTGGTTTGTTGCATTGGCTGCCATGTTTGGCAACATGTCCTGGGCTGATATTCGGGCGCAGGTGTTTTGGAGGTCTAACGGGTCCTGGCCGCTCATTATTTGGTTAATGTTCATGCTCCTGGGCATTCCTGTGTTGCTTTGGGTCGCAGGTTGCAGCCAGTTGTCTCAACTTCATGTTGAGGAGTGTGTGGCTGCCGCCACCTGGGTTAGACCCTCTTTTCCTTATCTTTGGTTATGTAGCTCCAGGGAGCCAAAGGGGCTCCTTGCAGAAAATCAGCATTGAATATAATGAAACGTCATTTTCTGGGTGATTCCCGGATCCCTGGCCATCTTCCCTCCCTCCGGTCGGCAGTTTTTTACATTGTTTGATGCTTAGCTTCTGAAGTGGAGTGCTGGGTACCTGGCGATGGGAGGGGAGGGGAGGGCTGTGCAGATGAGTGGCGTGGCGGTGGAGTGTGACATTTGCTTGTTTGCTTAGGATTGGAGGGAGTTCTGCCTCTCTTTTTTTTTTTTTTTTAGTTGTACTTTTCTTGCCATGTGGGGTTTGTTTTGTTATGCCTACCTTTCTGGGTGCCTAACCCCAGTCGATGGCACATAAGGAAAAACCCCAACCACAGGGGGGTTTTCAAGGGCTATTGCTCCCTGCAACCTCTCTGAGGGGGTGGCCCAGGTTCTGGCTCGTGGTTCTCAGTAGGTCGAACTCCATAGACTTATGCTCCGGTTTAATATAACACACATTAGTCCAAGAACTCCAAGGAGCCTCCGGGGCTCACCCAGAAAAATAGCGTTTCGTTACATTCAATGCTGTTTTTTTGGGGGAGTGTGGAATGGATTAATTCAATTTACATTATTTCTTATAGGAAAATTTGTTTTGAGTTATGAATTTTTGAGTTACGACCCATCTCTGGGAATGAATTAAATTTGTGAATGGAGGTAACACAGTCATATAGCACCCTCTTCTTCATCGTTGTTGCAGTAGGGAGATTTTCTCCACCAAGGTGACCAATTGATACTTAAAATTTCGAGAGTAACGGTGCTCAAAGGAGACACATTGATATATTATTGATGGGGTTTTATTTAACAATAAGTAACTTATTATTAAGACTTGTCAATTCTCTTGTTACAGGAAGTGATGCAGAAAGACTTAAGCCAGCAAATCAGTGCAAACCAATAACTTACCATAAACCAGATGGAGAAATTAGCTTTGACCTTCTGAGTTCAGTTGCACTCACTGGTACAAACCATGATCATGACCAGCCTCCTCATCTGACACTAAAAGATGACTCTGTCCCTGTAGACAACAATCATGCAGTGTTTGATGGACCAGAAGGACGCTTTTGTCCGGCAGGTTAGTTGTTGTTGAAGGTTTAGCAGGAAGTGTTGTGCCTGCACAAGTATTGTATGGAGATTATCTTCTGAAGCAGAGAGCAATAGATGAAAGGGAGGAAGACAATACAGGTAGTGGTGGAAATGAAGGAGGTAAGGTAAGGAAATAAGAGAGAGAGAGACAGATAGAAGACTGAGAAATTAACCATTATCTTCTGCTTCAATTACAGTGTGTGTTTACTGTGAGGTGGTCTCTGTTCCCACTGCTGACTTAGGTGACAGGTTCTATTACAGTGTGTGTTTACTGTGTGAGGGTGGTCACTGTTCCCACTGCTGACTCAGGTGACAGGTTCTACTACAGTGTGTGTTTACTGTGTGGGTGGTCACTGTTCCCACTGCTGACTCAGGTGACAGGTTCTACTACAGTGTGTGTTTACTGTGTGAGGGTGGTCACTGTTCCCACTGCTGACTCAGGTGACAGGTTCTATTACAGTGTGTGTTTACTGTGTGTGGGTGGTCACTGTTCCCACTGCTGACTCAGGTGACAGGTTCTACTACAGTGTGTGTTTACTGTGTGAGGGTGGTCACTGTTCCCACTGCTGACTCCAAGTAGCAGGTTGAAAAGCAGTTTCATATGCACCAGAGTTGGCAAAACTAACTATGCACTCACAGTGCACATGCCATGTGCACAAAGGCTATCTCCCTTGGTACTGGACTAAGACCTAGCTTGTTATGTCTCTAATGAAAGCCCATTGACTTTCTCACAAGTTGAGCCTGGCCTCAGGGCCAGGCTTGGGGAGTACAAGAACCCCCAAAACCCCCATCAAACAGGTATCAAGCAGGTACCATGTGTTGACCAGCATGATGATGCTACAAGGACCATCATAGCTTTAGTCCCTAAAGAGATAAATGGCGCACAGCATTTACCAGTGTAGAAGCGAACTGCAGTCAGCCATCATCTGGTATACCTGGAGAGGGTTTCAGGAATTTGTCTACTCCCCAAACCTGGCCTGTGACCAGGCTCAACTTGTGACAACTTGGTCCAGGAGGCTGCACCAAGTTGTCACAATTTCTCACATAATTCATAGACTGTGTGGGGTCTGTGTTCTCCTATTCTGCATTCCATAATATGGCATTTATTCACATTAAGTTCCATTTGCCAAGTGGTGTTCCATTCACTTATTTTGTCCAGGTCCTCTTGAAGGGCATGGCAATCATCTAAGTTTCTTATCTTCCCAATTATCTTTGCATCATCAGCAAACATGTTCATATAATTCTGTATTCCCTCTAGTAAATTGTTTATGTAGACAATGAACATTACTGGTGCAAGAACTGAACCCTGTGGTACTCCACTTGTGACATTTCTCCAAGCCAATACATTGCCTCTAATTACTGCCCTCATTTTTCTGTCATTAGAAAATGTTTAATTTTTCATGTTTCTCAGGTTGTCGGCAGTGTTATGAAAGGTAGCCAGTCTGTAGTCTACACTCGTGCCCATGATTTACGTAAATATTCCGCTCTGACGGCTGTGTTTGGTAATATGTCCTGGGGCAATATTCGTGCACGAGTGTTTTGGAGGTCTAACAGGGTCTTGGCTACCAGGTATCTTGTTAAGGACCCTGGTTCTCTGTGGTCTTGTATTGCGTTGGGTCATTTGTTGAGGAGATCAGTCACATCTTTGTCTCAATACTTGCTGTGCTGCCATCTCCCTGGTAAGTGACACTTTTGTCCTTCTCTGTGGGTAGTTAGTTCCCTGGTAGGCCGGTAGAACTCTGCGACTGAGGACACTTAGGAGTATGGCATATATTCAGTGGAATAGCTTCAGGAAGCCACTGGGGCTCGCCCAGAAACTGGCGTTTCATTACGTTCAATGCTCGTTTTTCTCTGTGTATGATTCAAAACTTTCCTAGTTGAATGAATACTTGTATGCATTACCTTGCAGGTGTGTATGAATATGTGCCACTGGAGGTCGGTGATGGCGTCAGACTTCAGATAAATGCCCAGAACTGTATCCACTGCAAGACGTGTGATATAAAGTGCCCATCTCAGAATATTAATTGGGTAGTACCAGAGGCAGGAGGTGGACCTGCTTATGATGGCATGTGAACTGTTTACCCTGTGAGTTTATTAGTGCATTTCATTTCTGCAGAACTTACTGGTGGAGAGATTTTTGTATTCATATCAGAGAGATATTTTTTTAACATAAGCCTCTTTTTCTAATGTTTACAAAAAATGTTATTTATATAATATTCATGTTACAAGATTTTCTTCTTTTCTGAAAATTCTTTCATGTGATGACAAAACCACACATCAGAAGATGAAGAAATGACGATGTTTCGCTCCATCCTGGACCATTATTAAGTCGTATGTCGGCTTGATAATGACTTGATATATATGGACACATACGACTTGATAATCCAGGGTTGACCGAAATCTTGTTTCTTCAATTTCTGGTGTGTGGTTTGGTCATAGTATATTCAACTACGTTACTGTGACTCATCGTCTGCATCTTTCATGTGTTCAAACTTTTCCTTTTACAAATTAGGTCTGAATAAATAAAATTATAAAATTATGATAAATACTGTATTTGTTGTAATATAGATTGATTTTATTCATAATGATTTCTACAAATCATTACAGTTATGGCTGGACTGAACAGGTGTACAGCCATAAAAATGTGTTGTTAACAATTACTGGTAAAATGTATGGCCACGACATAGTGTAGCATAACAATAAAACATAGACTTGACCTAAATATACCACAAATTTGTAGCCGTTTGCATCGCTATGAATTACAAGGATCATATACAGTAATATAAATATACCGTATTTACTGTCGTATAAGACGCACACTTTTTGTTTTTAAATGATTTAAAAAAAGTGCCCTGTGTCTAATGCGGCCGTATTACGAACGGTAGACCGAGGGGCACAGGCTAGGGAGCCGGATAAGAATACTGGATAAGTTTGCTAGGCACAGAATCATTGCTAATAATAAAATATTGAAAGCAAGCCTAGTAATCATAGAATGTTATTACAAACTTTCGATACGTCGGCAGTTATGATGGAAGCTCACATCACCTTGCTCATAAACATAAACCACACCTGATATGTCATGCATTATTTAATGACTGTGTTACCTTTAAGACACATTTATTCATTATCTAAGTGAAAAATTATCCTAGAAATTTGAAAGGAATGTTCAACTTTCATCTGCCTGTCAGCCATTTGCAATAAGTGAATGACAGCATCACCAGAGTGCTGTGATGGTGTGCCACTGCCGGGAGTGCCACCCTGGTGGCCTGATGCGGCAACACAAAACATCACATCCAGAATTACAAGTTTCACATCCTGTATCGCAATTCTCTTGCCCAAAATAAAAACAACTACACAACTTCAATAAATGTATGATGAAACATCCTAAAATATTTTTTTCCGCAAGATATCCTTGTAAAATAGGGTTGCATTCTATGTGAGGGTACGTCTTATATGCCGGCAAATACCGTAATTATAAGAACTATATTGAAAAATACACACTAAATGTAACAATAAATAAAATGCAAACCTATTGCAACTTGCATAATTTTGTATAAATTTTTACATGGATATTATGTATGCATTAGATTATTAAAATTCTTTGTTTTGTAACATCAATTTAAAAAACTTTGCTGACAATTAAGGGACATATGTATGTTGGCAAAAAAAACAGCATTCAGTGTAATGAATCTCCATTTTCTGGATGAGCCCTGGAGTTATCAGGCTGATATGTGTTATATTAGTCTGGGGCATCAGTCAATTAGATTTCAGCCTACCGGGGCCCACGAGCCAGAACCTGGCCCCCCTCAGAGAGGCACGAATAGCAATGGCTTATAGAAACCCTTGTGTGGTTGGGAGCATTCTATGTCTGCCATCTAATGGGTCTGGTACCCAGAAAGGCAGGCATAACAAAACAGACACCACATGGTAAGAAAATTGCAACCGAAAACCGAACAGAAAGGCAGAACTTCTCCTGCTTAAACCTTGGGAGGTGCTTAGGATTAGTGGTGCCTGCAACACCACTAGACGCAAGCAAAAAAATTCAAAATTAACTTTTCTGGGGGGGAGCCCCGTCGGCTCCGCAGAGCTATCCAGGCTGATACAGATATATTAGCTTTCTGGCATCAGTCATTGTGCATGGAGTTCTAGGCCTACCTGGGACCAAGAGCCAGAACCTGGCCCCTCCTCAGAGAGGCACGAGGAGCAATGGCCTATAGAAACCCCCCCAGTGTGGTTGAAAGCATTATAGTGGGTAAAAATTTCCCACAGTCCCTTCCCATGTGGTGCGGGAACTCCTTGCGGCTTACCTCCTACGCAACCCGGATTATGCTTTCGTAATGGATCCGCGTGTCTTCGTGTACAAAGGTGTCATGATGTTCTGGGGTCTTCCTGGTTAGCAGACTACCCTCTCTTCTCTTTGAAGGCATGGCATACATTCTATCAATCCTGCACACTTGAGTAGTGGGAGGCTAAGACAGTGTTGTAGGTTTTCCTGGGGGTCAAATTTGAGCATCTCAATGTGTGCTTGTTCGCCCCTGCCCTTCTGCGGGATGTTGGTGTGATGCAGCTTCGAGCATCTCAATGTGTGCTTGTTCGCCCCTGCCCTTCTGCGGGATGTTGGTATGATACAGCTTCATGTGCTGGTTCTTGGCTGCATTGCTTGGGGTTGATTTGCATATGCATGGCCCTGCTGGCTTTGGCCCTGCATTTCATCTCCTTCCATGCACTGTCCATGGACTGGCTTGAGGTGGATGTGGAGGAGCTTGGGGCCACCTCTGGGTCTCGTGCGTTGCCCTCTGTGGTGCGTGCGTCATCTGCATTGTAGGAGCTGTTCACGCCGCTCCTGCGGGATGCAGTTTCACGGTTTTTTGCTTCTCAACTCGAGTGTCGGCAGGCGAGGCTCGCTTCTTCCTTAGAATCTGCTTAGGCCCTGGCTCTTAGACTGTCTTTACATTTTTGTCCATTGCTGATTGAGGACTCTGCAGTTGTGCTGTATCTGCAGGCAGCTTTGGCTAGTTGCCGTTCTATGTTGGATTTGTTGGTCCTCCGGGGGGCTCGTGGGGAGCCTTCCCAGCAGGGTCGTGCCAGGGCACGGGGTTCTTCCTGTCGTACTCACCTACCACTGTCGTGGTAGGCCAATGGTGTCAGATTCGGCACCAGCGCTGTCTTCGGTGCCATCTGTTGCTGTTTGGTGTAGGGATCACCCTGTGCACCGTATAGGTTCTCATAAAGGTGCGTCGGCCTTTTCGTGATTCGTCCCGTTAATGGGGCGATGGCTCAGTTTGCTTGCACCTGGTCTCATTATTTGTGGGCCTTTTGGGTCGTTTCGTGCGGCCTGCGGTGGCGTTGGGTGGCTCCTTCTCCTTCAGGGGGTTTGAGGCTGGCAGGGCAGGTCTCTTCTCCTGCACTCTGTCGGGTCATCTCGGAGTGGGTTCACTTGGGCGTGGTTGATATGACCTCGTCCCTCAGGTGGGTTTCCCGCCTGTTTCCGGTCCTGAAACAGGACAGCGCGGGCCTCCGGTTCATTCTGGGCTTGTCCTGTCTGAACCTGTGGGTTTATTGCCCCCTCCCTTCAGATGACTACTGCCCCAGGTCCATCTTCTGTTGGAGCCGGACGCTTGGGTGGTGTTCCTGAACTCAAGGACATGTATTGGTACATCCAGATTCATTCGAGGTTCAGGGACTGGCTCAGTTTTGTTGTGGGGCATCATGGTTACCGCTTTTGTTGCCTTCCATTCGGCATGAATCTGGCGTCTCGCGTGTTCACACGCCCTACTCGGGTTGTAGTGTTATTTCAGTCTGGCAGAGCCAACCGAAGGAGTCGGAGTCGACCATCCATTTTCTGGACAGGGGAATGAACCTAGACAGGCTGTCCCCCAGAATGTTAGACACTCCCTGGATATGAACTACACTGAGAGCCAAACCCCGAGAATCCAGCAGACAAGTCACTCGAAGTGACCAGCACCAAAGAGCCAAGAAATTGAAAGGGAACCCCCGTGGTTCAGACAATAAATCAGTGGGCCTGCACCGTGCTGTGAGCCCAACAGAAGGACGGACCCCACCACCTCTGGCCAGCCCGGTGAGCACTGGTCACAAAGCCCCAGCCAAGAGACGAGGCATCCGTGAACACATCAAGCAAGGGCTCGGGTAGGCACCAAGGCACTGAACCCCGAAAACCCAAAGAGGAATCCGGTGACGCAGCAACCGATGTAACGCCCCTGGAGGCCGAACCCAACGATCTTGAGAGAGGGGGAAGAGAAGACCCCAAAGGAACCAGAAGACATCGAAGCCACACCCCTGACCTGGTGGGTAAACCAGCATGGTGAAGTTCAGACTCCCGCACAACTGCTCGAGTAACTGTCGAGTGACCAAGGAACCCCCAGAAACAGCTGAAGGCGGGACTGCACTCATAGCAACAACTCTGGATTGATAGACAAGGAAACGGTCCGAGATCTCCCACACAAGACCCAGCCAGGTCTGAAATTGAAACGGAACCAGATGGGACCTCCTCCAGTTCACCAGGAACTTGAACCTGGCAAGCTGGTAAAGAACCACACCTCTGGGGAACAGACAGGCAGACTGGCTGGGAGCCCACACCAACTAGTCATTGAGGTAGGCCAGAACCCGAACCCCTAGCAGATGCAGACGGGTCACCACGACCCGGGTAAGGCATGTTAAAACACAGTGCCAGATTCAAGCCGAATGGAAGGCAACGGAAGCGGCGAGCCTGACGCCCTACAATGAAACCTAACCAGTCCCTGAACCCCAGATGAATTAGGAACTTGCCAATACACATCCATGAGGTCCAGGGATACAATCCAGGTTCCCAGCTTCAACAGAAGCCGGACCTGAGACAGAGTGGTGATCCGAAGGGAGGGGCAAGGAATTCAAGGGTTCAGACAGGACAAGTCCAGAATGAACCGCAGATCCACACAGTCCCATTTCGGTACTGGAAACCCACCTGAGGGATGGGGTCGTTTCAACCACGCCCAAGTGCACCCACTCCAAGATGACCCGATGGAGCGCAGGGAAAGAAGCCTGCCCAGCAAGCCCCGATCCACCCCCCCATCCCTGAAGAAAGGGGA